AAATAAATAAATAAAAACATTGTCCAATATCATCATCCAATCATTCCATATTCCTATGTCTGTTACACTGCATTGCCAAACGTTTGCTCTAACAGCCAAGTCTTAACTTTTCTCCGGAATGCTAAAAGGGAGGTACCGGTTAAACCACTGAGCTATTGAACTTGCTAACCAAAAGGTTGGCAGTTCGAATCCGGGGAGTGGAGTGAGCTCCCACTGTCAGGCCCAGCTTCTACCAACCTAGCAGTTCGAAAACATACAAATGTGAGTAGATCAATAGGTACCGCTTCTGTGGGAAGGTAATGGTGCTCCATGCAGTCATGCTGGCCACATGAACTTGGAGGTGTCTACGGACAACACCGGCTCTTTAGCTTAGAAATTGAGATGAGCACCAACCCACAGTATTGGACAAAACTAGACTGATTGTCAGGGGAAACCTTTACCTTTACCAATCCCATCCCACATGCTCCACAGTCCTTTTTACTGCAGCTGAACCAACCTGGGATTTGTGTGTGTGTGCAAGGCACGCATGGAACTATGGTCCCAGGCCCAGAGCAGAAGAATGCTCCTTTGGCAGTATAGACTGCAATCATGCTGCAAACCATTCTTTTCGTAAAATACTACTTGGGTTTAAAATTTTGGTAATTAAGGTTTGGTTTTTGTTATTGCACTGATAGTTACGTTTGAGGGCTTGGAATCCTTTGCCACAAGGGCTGGTTATTCAAATAAAAAAGCAAGAATAATGCCTCTAAGAAGCAATGCCTAATGACAGCATGACAGACAAGCATTACAAACAAAACCAGTGTATTTTAGTGGTTATAGTGCTGGACTGCAAGAGATACTTCCCTCGTAATTTTAAGCCTTGTTTTAGTTTTTATAGTCTTAAAAGACTAGAATATTTTAATTAACATAGGAGAGTTACTTGCCATAGGTAAATAGATAACAGCATAGCTGTCCCAAAAGGATTTTTGTTTTCTCACATTGCCAGGCCAGATGCTTTGAAAGCTACTCTTTAGCTGTACTGTCTCCCAAGTTGCCACATCATATAAAGGAGGTATGACATGATCCATTCCCAAAACAGCACTTTCCTAAAAGGCCTGATCAACCTTACCTGCAGGGACAGCAGGACTGTGGACAATAGTGTGGTTCTCTTCCTGCACCCCCGATGCATCTGGCTCCTCCTGGCTTTGCTTTGGCCGATACTCTAAGACACGACACTTATACCAGCATCGCCTGCGGGCATCCATCGTACTCCAGTACATCCGGGAACACCTCAAAAGAAAACAATCTTGCCTCACTAGTGTGGGATTCAGGAAGCTATGTAGCTATTTTCTCTAAGTGACTGGTTCGCAACCTCTGTCTCTCTGCTGTTGGTCTTCCATTTCCATATTCTATGACCATTGGCCATGCTGGCTGGAGTAAATGTCAGTGCAAAAACTCCTGAGGGATTAAGTGGTGAGATCTACTATTCTAACTAATCAGACAATCAGGAAATCTGTTCTGGAGGAAAAAGGACTATGGGATATTGCATTTAGGTCAATGTTCTATAGTAGGGGTCCTCAAACTAAGGCCCGGGGGCCGGATACGGCCCTCCAAGGTCATTTGCCTGGCCCTCGCTCAGGGTCAACCTAAGTCTGAAATGACTTGAAAGCACACAACAACAACAACAACAACAATCCTATCTCATCAGCCAAAAGCAGGCCCACACTTCCCATTGAAATACTAATAAGTTTATATTTGTTAAATTTGTTCTTCATTTTAATTATTATATTGTTTTTAAATGTTTTTTGCACTACAAATAAGATATGTGAAATGTGCATAGGGATTAATTCTTTTTTTCCATTTATAATCCGGTCCTCCAACAGTTTGAGGGACAGTGACCTGGCCCTCTGTTTAAAAAGTTTGAGGACCCCTATTCTATAGCTTGATGTCTCAATTGCTACATTAGCCAATGTGAGTCTTCAGTTTTTCATAAAGTGAAATCATTCTAGCAAGCTACTGATGTAGTACTTTAAGTTTGGCACCAAGGGTTTTGGGTGCCAAGATGTCTGTACTCTAAAAGAATTGTAAATTTCAAGTGCTAGTAAAAACTGGTGATACTACAGCGTCTTGTTCTGATTCCTAAGAATGGATCTTCTTGCCTCTTTGCACTTCCTCCGATTATCAAGGTTTTCAAAGAGAATCTGCATGGCAGCTGATGAAACCAAGCGCTATCCTTCTGCATGGATTAGCTGAGAGGATTAGCTCAGCTAAAATAGACCGTTGCATGGAAACAACAGTCCTGCAGCTGTTGCTGGACTCTAGTTTCCACAATTCCCAGTCATGGCAACACTCAAAGATGAGGTAGATTGCTGCGCTGGCACCATAACTACCATATGTGCAATTTAACAGATACCATGATGAAGAAAGGAACATTTAGTGTTGCCTCTTTATGGTTGTAAATCTTGTTAACTATCATCTTTGTCTACAGTTGCAAGAGCTAACAAATACATTTTTAATCAGGTGGTATGCAATACCTGGACAGCCACCTGGAGAATGCACTCAATTCCACACTTTATAGTAACCCACCCAAAATCAACAAAACAAAGCTATCAGTAATTGCTACTAGAACCATGCATACAAACAAATACTATTCCTCATATCAAACATATTTCGTCAATTCTGCAACGGTCATATTGTAAGTAATGGCTGGGCTTCATTTTCTCTGAGGTCATTAACCCAAATGTGATGCTATTAAACCACCAGATTGGGGAATCCTTATTGCATGACTGACAAGTTTATTTTTATTTCTGGACCTTTAATGAGCATGGACACGAAGCAGAAACAAAGAACAGCCATTGAATCGTTAGCCAAAGAAGGATGTGCTGCTGCTATCTACAGAAAGCTCAGAAATGTGTATGATGAGGTCATAATTAATGAAAGTAATGTGCAAAGATAGTCCCCTGGTGGCGCAACGGGTTAAACTGCTGAGCTTCTGAACTTGCTGACCAAAAGGTCGGTAGTTCGAATCCGAGGAGCAGGGTGAGCTTCGCTGTTAGCCCTAGCTTCTGCCAACCTAGTAGTTAGAAAACATGCAAATTGAGTAGATCAGTATGTACTGCCTTAGCGGGAAGGTAACGGCACTCCATGCAGTCATGTCAGCCACATTATCTTGGAGGTGTCTATGGACAACAGCGGCTCTTCAGCTTACAAATGGAGATGATCACCACCCCCAGAGTCAGACACAACTAGACTTAATGTCGAGGAAACCTTTACCTTTACTAATGTGCAAAGATGGGTGAAAAGGTTTAAAGTAAATACAACAAACCACTTAGTGGAAGGTTATTGGCAAAAGTCACAGATCAAAACCAAAACAAGTATCTATAGGTTGCTCACCTGTAACCATGGTTTCCTGAGTAGTCACCTGTGAATTCGCACATGTGATATCTCAGCGCTTGCGCAATAGCTTTCGGAACCTTCTAGAATACAAGAAAAAAACACTTGACTCCCGGTTGGCCCCACCCACCTCGCCCCGAGTATAAATAGCCCGTGGGAGGGGCCAGCCGTCAGTTCTTTTCCGCCGTACGCGGGCATGACACTCGAGGGGAGGACGGGTGGGGATGTGCGAATTCACAGGTGACTACTCAGGAAACCATGGTTACAGGTGAGCAACCTATAGTTTCCTGTCGTAGTCCCTGTGAATCGCACATGTGATAGATTAGCGAGCTCTTCACCTTGGATGGTGGGCGTCATGCCACCGCGGAAAACAAAACAGCTCTGCCAAACTGTGCATCCCTTCTGGACAGAACATCCATCTTATAATGGGTGACAAAAGAAAGGGGGGACGACCACAGGGCCGCCCTGCAAACTGCGTCCAGCGGAACGCCCTTCCAGTGCGCTGTGGAGGTCGAAACGGACCTCGTGGAATGCCCTCTCACTGGGGAGGGCAAGTGGGTACGGGATATGCGGTAGGCCAGCTGGATAGTGGAAACGATCCACGAAGACAGTCGTTGAGGAGAAACAGGGCCACCAAGAACATCAGTGCGATACTTAACGAAAAGTTTAGGAGTCTTCCTGATGGTGGCAGTTCTGTCTACATAAAAGGCCAGCGCCCTACGGACATCCAGAAGGTGGAGGTCTTGCTCCAGGGGAGAAGTAGGGCTCTGGAAAAAAGAGGGCAGAATCAGGTCCTGGGAGAGGTGAAAGGACGTAGCAACTTTAGGAAGGAAGGCTATATCGGTCCCCAGGACAACCTTATCAGTATGGAATTTCAAATACGGAGGGTCCGCTCTGAGGGCGCAGAGCTCGCTAGCCCGTCGGGCCGATGTGACCGCCACCAAAAACGCAGTCTTCCACGAAAGGTAAGCCAGGCTAATAGTTGCCAGCGGCTCGAATGGAGGCCTCATCAGTACTTTAAGCACTAGATCCAAGCTCCATGAAGGGACTACGGGGGTGGTGGGAGGTCTGATGTTCAAGATCCCCCTCAAAAACGTCTTTACTAATGGGTCTTCAAAGCAAGAGGGCATACCCGATCTCCTGCGGAACCAGGAGATGGAAGCCAGGTAACATTTAATAGAGGGGTGAGAGAGACCCGCGTCCAAAAGAGACGCCAAAAAGTCCAGTACGACAGGGATCGGTGCCGTATTAGGGTCCAATCCACGAGACCTAGTAAAGGATGTAAACTTGGACCATTTGTACAAATAGGAACGTTTGGTAGAGGGCCTATGGGCCGCCTCAATAACTCGCAGCACGGAGTCGGGGAGGTCGGGGAAGGGAGTCAGGTGACTGGCAGGATTCGCCATGCCGTGAGCTTCAGTCTGTGTACCTCTGGGTACAGTACTTGATCTTGTTGACATGTCAGCAGATCGGGTCTGGGAGGAAGCCGCACGAATACCCCTTGTGCCAGGTGGCGGAGGGGGGAGAACCAGGGTTGTCTCGGCCACCAAGGCGTCACCAGGATGCAACAGGTGGCGTCCCTCTGTATCTTCGCTACAGTGCGAAGGAGCAGGGGGAAGGGTGGAAAGGCATACGTTGTCCAGCCCGACCAAGCGTGCAGGAAGGCGTCCCCCAGACACCCTTCCTCCGTGGAGGCGTGGGCCCTCGCACAGTAAAGTGGGCGTTTTGCGTTGAACTTCGACGCGAACAGGTCGATGTTCGGAGTCCCCCACGCTCGGAAGAGTCTGTGAACTTCCTCCCCGTTCAAGGACCACTCGTGGTGCGCGAGGGGGTTGCGGCTGAGGGAGTCCGCCAGTATGTTCTGCTCCCCGGGTACGTATGTTGCTAGAAGATGAATCCCCCTGTCTATACACCACTCCCAAATCTGGGAGGACAACGCCAGTAGGTTCGGGGAGTGGGTGCCGCCCTGTTTGTTCAGATAGTACATTACCGTCGTATTGTCGGTAAGCACCTGTACTACCTGACCCGTGACCACCCTCTCGAAGGATTTTAGCGCCCTGTCGACGGCCATGAGCTCTAGAACGTTTATGTGGAGCTCGTTTTCTTGGTCTGACCACACGCCGTGAGCTACCAGACCCTGAGAGTGTGCACCCCACCCCGTTAGTGAAGAGTCCGTAGTGACAGTTCTCGTAGCAGGGGGGATGTGGAAAGATAGGCCTGAGCAGGCCCAAGTAGGGTCCAACCAGCAACGGAGTGACGAGCGAACCCAGGGGGGTGGTGATAGTGTGGTCGACGGGCTGTCTAGCAGGGGATTGAAGACGGACAGGAACCAGGACTGCAACGGGCGCATGCGAAGTCTGGCATACAGGATGGCTGACGTAGTCGACGCCATGTGACCCAACAACACTTGCAGCTGCCTGGCCGTCACGTGAGGCTCGGTGAGAACCCGTTCGACCAGGTCTGCGATGGCGATGAAACGCTCTTCCGGGAGGTAGGCCTTCTCGCAGAGGGAGTCCAGAAGCACCCCGATGAACCGGATCTGCTGCGTCGGCACCAAGACGGACTTCTCCCGGTTCAGGACAAGACCTAGGGACTGGAGGAGAGACAAGACCATGGAGACATGCGTTTGGAGCTTAAGGTAAGTGTCTGCCACAATCAACCAGTCATCAATGTAAGGGTAGACCGTGACCCCCCTGGTCCTAAGGTGAGCCATCACCACGGCCATACACTTGGTGAAGACCCTCGGGGCCGTAGAAAGGCCAAATGGCAGGACATTAAAACAGTAGGACTGACCCTTGATTCTAAAGGAAAGGAACCGTCGGTGGTGTGGAGCAATAGAAATATGAAAATATGCGTCCCTGAGGTCAACGGTAGCGAACCAGGCGCGTTTAGGGATAAGCGGGGTTATTGAGGCAAGAGTCACCATGCGAAACCTTTTCGGTTTGATGTGTTTATTGAGCTCTCGCAAATCCAGTATGGGACGCAGCCCACCACCTCTTTTAATCACCAGGAAATAACGGGAATAAAAACAGAAGGGAGCAGAAGCAGGGTCAACCATGGAGACGGCCCCCTTATTCATTAGCAATTCTATCTCTTGCATGAGTTGCATAGAAAATGGGGTCTCACGGAACAAACCAACTCTGGGGGTATCATCAAACTCTATGGCGTAACCTCCTGAAACAATAGCTAGTACCCAACGGTCTGAGGTAATTTTCTCCCACTCCGAGTAGAACCCGGAGAGACGGTCAGTGAAGAAGGGCAACGGCCCTGAGGGAGTTTCCTGGGGTTCAACATTCAAACAGAGGGGAAAAGGTAACTTGGGTTGCGGGACTACGGCAAAACGTGCAACTGGGGTCGTGTCCGGCCTAGAGATGGGGAGAGAGGCGTCAAAGACGCTTCTTTGAGGCACCAGGAGCTTTGGCTTTCCCCTGGAAGGGCTGTGCCCTTGGTTTTTGGGAGTAGGGGGTCCGCCTCCCTCCCTGGAATCTGGACTGGCCCCCGAATCTGCCCCTGAGGGGCGTGGAATATGAGTTACCAAATGACCTCCGGTAAGAGGGGGCACTCGGTTGCCACCTTCCCTTTTGTTGGGGGTAGGGCTGCCATGTGTAGCCGAATTTAGAAGCGGACTGCCTCACATCCTGCTTCTGTTTAAGCCGGTCATCGGTGTTGGGGTTGAACAGCCCCTCCTCGTGGAAGGGGAGGTCCTCAGCGAGGGCCTTCCCCTCCTCTGAAAGGTTGGCAGCCCGCAGCCAAGCGTGGCGCCTGATGGAGGTGGCGGTGGCGAACAAGTTGCCAGAGGCCTCCGCCATGTGCTTCGCGAAGTCCTTTTGGAGCTTAGCGAGGGACAAGGCTTCGGTTTGCAGAGCTCTAGTAAAACGCTGGTCATCAGGTGGTAGGACCTCTATGTAGGGTAGCAACCGATTCCAAAGAAGGGTCTGGTACCCTGACATATAGGTCGCGTAGTGGGCCATCCTCGTGAAAAGGCCCGCGGAGAGGTAGGCCTTTTTCCCCAGTGTATCGAGCTTCCTGCCCTCCCTATCAGGAGGGGCAGTTTGGGAAGGCTTGGAGCGTTTCGGTTTCGACACCTCGGCTACCACTGTATTAGCCTTGGGAGGCGCCAAAACCCATTTAGCGGTGGCCATATCTATTTTATACATAGAATCTAGGCGTCTAGGCACAGCTGGTACCGACGAGGGGGGTACATCAATTATTTTAGCCAACTTCAGAAGGTAAGGGAGATGAGGAAGAGTGGAGGACACAACCACGTTCTGTTCCTCCGAAGGGAACATGGGGTCCTCCACGTGCTCCGGGGGTTTCGGGGCGGGAATCTCCAGAGCCTTAATCATACGTTCTACCAAGGCAGCGAACTTATTAAAGTCTGCGGGCAAAACATTGTCCTCACCCCCCTGCAGCTGAGGAGCCTCAGGCGGCTCAGCGTCTGAGTCAGTGTCTGGTAGTTCCCCTTCGTCGTGGGTCCCTGGATCAGGCGGATCCGCACTAGAGGCCATCAGTGGGGTGTTGGAGGCCTGTGGTGCGGGCAAAGGCACGGTGAAAGGCGCAGCAGGTTGATGGGGCAGAGCCAGTGCGCCAACGGGGGCGGGTCCAGTCGACATACCCAAGTCCGCACGACGAAAGTCTGCAGACGAGCTGGCCCCAGTTAGGTTGGAATTGGGGTCCCCGGCCCCGGTCACAGGGGTGGGGTCAGTCGCAGGCATGGAGATCACAGGCCTGGCAGGGGTAGCGGAGGCCATTCCCGCAATCAGGGCAGCAGAAGGGTGCTGAGGCGCCGCCGAGGGAGGTGGGGGCATCGTCAGCTGTGGGGGCATCGACACATAGACGAGCTGACCTGTTGGGCCCAGTTGCCAGCACCCCGGTGGCGGGACATGGGCCGGTGTGAAGGCCCCCGGGCGGCAGGAAGAGGAGCGAGAGAACCTCGAGCCGCGGCGGTGTCTTCTGCGCGGAGGGGAGGAGGAGGAGGTAGAGGAGGAGGAGGAGGACGATGAAGATGAAGATCTCGCCCTACTTCTTGTGCGAGAACGGTGTCGACGGCGTCGAGACCGCCCGCTCCGCCGGGAGGGTGATCGGGAGCGACGCCTGCGCCTACTGGAGTGGCGTGCAGATCGGCCCGATCTAGTCGACCTCGCCCCGGGCGAGAGGGGAGCAGGAGGCGGCGGCGGCATGGAGGGCTCATGGCTCCCTGTCGGCAGTGTCAAGCTCCCTGGCATCGTCCCCATCTCGGGGCTTGCTTCTCTCGGCGCCGGGACGCTCGGGCCCTGTGTGGGCGGGGCTCCAGCAGCCGCTCGCTGTATGGGCGGGGTGTCCCTGCCGACTTCCTGCGGGGGCGGAGCTTGCTGCTCAGGGCTCGCGATGGTGTTTGATGAGCCCTGGGTCTCAGTCGGGACCGACATCACGTTCGGGCCCGGGGAGAGCGTGGCAGGCATGAGAGGCGTCCCTCCTAAAGCTGGAGGAAGGGCAGTTTCAGAGAGCGGGAGTAGGGGCATCGGCCCAGGCGAGGCAAGATTTCCCGTTCCCTCGATGGTGGATGGCGCCGCAGCGGGGGAGCCAGCAGTGGTATTAGTGACCAGCAGGGGCCGCTGGAGACTTGGCAAGGTTCTCCCAGAAGGGGCGGGGGGAGCGGAGGTCTTATCCGCGGTTCCCGCTCTTTTAGGAGCCGTTTTCTTTTGTAGGGCAGAGCGGCCGCCATCTTGGGTGCCCCTCTCCTTGGGTTTTTTGGCCTTCTTCTTGGCCCTGGGATCGTCTTGAAGCGAAAAGGGTAAGTTGGGGCCGGGAGAGGGCCCTGCATGGCCAAGGGGAGGCGGAGGAAGAAGTGCCTTCTCATACAAGGCGGCTTTAAGGCGCACCTCTCTGTTCTTCCTGGTTTGCGCGGTAAAGGACAAGCAAACCGCACAGGATTGGGCGAGATGGCCCTCGCCCAGGCAGGCCAGGCATAGCGAGTGGCCGTCCGTGTCGGGGAAGGTATTGGGACAAGAGGAGTTAGAACACCTCTTGAAGGAAGTAGTGGACATATCGGATCGTCGGAAGGCGGCCGAATCAGGGGTTGGAGAGGTGAGAATGGTCAGACAGTCCAAGTTTAAAGCCGGTAGAAGAAGCAGTCCAAATCGCTAGCCAATACCTTCGTCAAGTTAAGTCAAGCCAAGTCCGTTAGGGAGTAATCAGTCCGTATAGAGAGCCAAGTCAAAGCAAAACAAGGGTTCCCAAGCTATCCGTGGAGCGCGGAAAAGAGAACTGACGGCTGGCCCCTCCCACGGGCTATTTATACTCGGGGCGAGGTGGGTGGGGCCAACCGGGAGTCAAGTGTTTTTTTCTTGTATTCTAGAAGGTTCCGAAAGCTATTGCGCAAGCGCTGAGATATCACATGTGCGATTCACAGGGACTACGACAGGAAATCACAGTAAATAAATGACATAATGATTTTAAAAAAAGAAAAAAAAATCACTAAAGCAATGAGTAGGATGCTGGAATGTGTGCAGGAAAAATGTCTTCAACTTGTTAATTAAATGCTTGTAATGAACTGAGAGCCCATTTGGTTAATGCTGATATTTCACAAGAGATTTAAGTGTGTGTATGTGTTAGTGCCTTCCATTTCCTTAATAGTATTTATTAACAAAAACCTGTTTGTCAGCAGCCCATACAGTTTAGCACAGATAAGCTGAATAATACACATGTTCCGATAGAAAGCCTTCATCCTAGTGAAGTCACAAGAGACAGGTGTTCCTGAAGAATTAAGGAAGATAACCGGTGGGACCAGAAATAAGTACAAAATGTGATAATATACTAAACAACAGGCATTTTAAAAACCCTTAGTTCAGTAGTAATACAAATAATACAGCTCACGAGTGCACCAAAATAATGTAGATCAGTGGTTCTCAACCTGTGGGTCCCCAGATGTTTTGGCCTTCAACTCCCAGAAAACCTAACAGCTGGTAAACTGCCTGGGATTTTTGGGAGTTGTAGGCCAAAACACCTGGGGGCCCACAGGTTGAGAACCACTGATGTAGATATTAATTTGCCAAATGGAACAACACCACTTTGCATCTCGGATGAGCTCCCTCTATCAGCTCCAGCTCCTCATGCGGGGACATGAGAGAAGCCTCCCACAAGGATGATAAAAACATCAAATCATCCGGGCATCCCCTGGCAATGTCCTTGCAGACGGCCAATTCTCTCACACCAAAAGCGGCTTGCAGTTTATCAAGTCGCTCCTGACACGACCAAAAAAAAAAAAAAATCTGCTGAAGTAGACTGCAGTCCATAAAAGGTTGCAGCAACTAAAACCCGTTAGTTTTTACAGGGCCAATAAAACTTTTTCTTGTTATCACTTCCACTAGTCACAAGGCTCAAACAGCCAAATGGAGACCATAATCAAACAGAACACCGTATTGATATGTCTCCCACCCTGCTGACCTCCAGAGGTTTAGAATGATCAATTTCAATGATTTATTATTATTGGTCATATTGGATTGGGGCTGATGGCGCTTCCCAGTAAAAGGTCCGAGCCTTGCTGTAGAATTTAGAGGTGAAGGAAGATTATGCACAGTCTAGGGACTCCCACAGTCAGCAAAGAATTTGAAAGAAAGCTGGTATGGAAAGAAGGCTCCAGCTCTACCAACTACTTGATATTTCTGCATGAAATGTGCATATATAATAGAGCCAGTCCCCAAGTGAAGATCCCAGGACATCAACACAGGATGGAACCACAGTTATTTTGGAAGCTGATACTCACTGGTAGCCTACAGGAAAGAGGCGTCCCTCACATTCCGACAAGTCTGTCAGCATTCCCAAACTGTCTATCTTCATCGAACCTGAAATGGATACATTCAGAATGAGCGGAGAGGCATCTGCTATCTGGAAATGGCCCAAAGCTGAGGCAAAGGGGGAGGCAACTGCACAACGTGGTGCATTTTGGGTGCCAGCAACACTGCATAGACAGAATGCATAGTCAGTCTCTGACTTACTGGGCACAAAAACTCTGATGAGTTGTGCTGTGTGAAGTTTTGGAGAATGACCCCATGAGTGGTGTCCCATTATAATTAGTGCAGGACTAGGCAACCTGGTGACCTCTACAATTCTGGGGGCACACCTCCCACAAACCCCATACTATGTGACCAATGTTCAGGAATAACAGCAGTTGTAGTCCAAAGCATCTGAAGAGTACCAAGCTGCCTACTCCTGAATGTATGTGAGGAGGAGAAGGGGAAGCTATTTGGATGTTCTGCCTTGGGTACTACTATTTATTTGCTAGCCCTCTTGGCAGCTGTTACAGAGTAGGCACAAAACACTACTGCCTTATACAGAGTCAGACCATGGTTCCATCTAGCCTTATAATCTAGACTGACTGACCATAGCTCTCCAGAGTCTCAGGCAGGGGATTTTCCCAGCCCTACCTGGAGACGCTGGGGACTGAACTTGGGACTTTCTGCATGCAAATCACGTGCTCTACCACTGAGCTACAGTCTTTCCTGTAAAAAGAACACAAGAAGCTGTCATCTAGCAAGTCAGACCATTAGTCCATCTACCTCTCTATGGTGACAGGCTCTCAGTACGACCTGGAGAAGTCAGGAAGTGAACTTAGGGCTTTCTCCATACAAAGGGCATGCTATACTTCTCAGCCACAGCTACGATTTGCTTCCCATGAGACACTGACCAATCTGGCTCAGGCAACAGACCGAACTTCCCCTCCCATCTGCCACCTGTTAAGTCCCCTGATTGGCTGTAATACCTGCTGCCTATCCTTCCATGTATTGTTGCCTGTTGGACTCAACCATATCCTGGACAAGTTTATAGTCCTCATCAAGGAAAAAGATAGGCAGATGAGTGAGCTGGCAGAGAAAGTTGCTCTAAGTCCCCTTCGGAGTTGAAATAGAGCAGGGTAAAAATACAGTAAATAAATAAAGCCCTCCCCCTATTTGTCTCCCTCTCTCTTGCTATTCCCTGCATGTTAAGACTCATACTTCTTGGGGACAGGCCTTTTTATATTCAAAGTTGCGAAGTCTTCCATTTTGTTCTTTTCCTGTGAGCATGGAGAGATAAAATGTCTGTAGAGAGATATTCAATGTATTGTTGAAAGCTTTCATGGCTGGAATCATTGGGTTGTTGTAAGTTTTTCAAGATGTATGGCCATGTTCCAGAAGCATTCTCTCCTGGTGTTTTTAATTAATGTTTTTAATTAGGAGACGCAAATGGCTTATGTTTTTATCACTTTTGTTTGGTTTTATACTATGTATTACTGTTTTAAATGTTTTATGATGTTCTTGGGCATCAAATCGTTAGATCTTTCAGTATAGTATTTTGTAACATTTAAAGCTTGACTCTACTCCTGTAATTGCTGAAGCTCATTAGCTCAACTGTAATGCTCAAAAAGGCTCTGATCTGCTAAATTACTGCTGTTGTTGCTGCTTTACCATTTTAAAATGATTTTTCCTTTTGAAATTACCCAACATTGCTATATATCACCAGGTCCAGAGCATTACTCTGAAGGATCCATCAAGGTAAGGTGACCTGTGCTGCCAAGTCATCTGGCAGACTGCAACTCTTTTCATCCCTCCCCAAAATTACCTATCATCATGTTGATGATGTCCGGTTCTAGGCCCACCATGAATTTCCTCTTAAAGCTGATGCCCTCAAAGTCAACGTAGACGCGGCGAAGGACATCAAACCCGTCGTCAGCAACAATTTCCTAAAGGACAAACAACATGACTGAGGACTTGGCCTGACCATGACCAAGAGTTACTTTTTTGCAATGGCCATGTCTTGCTATTTTAAAATATCAACAGGAATCAAAACTCTAGTTTTCAAAAAGGTCACGGTCCCAGTCATAATCCACTCACCCCAGGAGACAAACAAAAGCCCCGCCACCCTCCCTCTCTGCGCCTCCCACAACTCTTACCGTCCCATCAAGAAGATCGACATGCTTCTGGCAGAAGACTTTCTTATCATCCTGGAAAGTGCACTGGCGAAGACGCGCACACATGAAGTGGTAGTTGCTGATACATGCAGAAAGGCAACAGCCAACTGTGGCCCCGTTGCGTTGACAGTGTTCACAGCGCTAAAGGAAGGGAAAGGCATGTCAGCAGTGCAATTAACACCACCACTACAGCTTTGAATTACGACAGAAAGCAAAGAAGCAGAGGGGCATGTCAGAAAGAGGGAACCTCACCAAGAAATAAATTATCCATCTTTAGTGGGTCATTGTAGAGTCATAGAATCATACAGTTGGAAGAGACCTTGTGGGCCATCTAATCCAACCCCCTGCCAAGCAGAAAAATCACATTCAAAGCACCCCAGACAGATGGCCATACAGCCTCTGTTTAAAAGCCTCCAAAGAAGGAGCCTCCACCACACTCTGGGGCAGAGAGGTCCACTGCTGAACAGCTTTCACAGTTAGGAAGTTATTCCTAATGTTCAGGTGGAATCTCCTTTCTTGTAGTTTGACGTCATTGTTTTGCGTCCTAGTCCCCAGGGCTGCAGAAAACAAGTTTGCTCCCGCCTCCCTATGACTTCCCCTCACATATTTATACAAGGCCCTCCTCATTTCTCCTCTCAGCCTTCTCTTCTGCAGTCAAAAATGCCCAGTTCTTTAAACCACTCCTCATAGGGCTTATTCTCCAGACCTTTGATCATTTTAGTCACCCTTCTCTGTGCACCTTCCAGCTTGTCAACATCTCCCTATGAATATTTCAATTGGCCACAGTGATTAGCATTTAATGGCCCAACAGTGGCTTCTTACAGCCTGGGGGAATCCTTTGTTGGGAGGTGATTAGCTGGCCCTGATTGTTTCCCAACAAAGGGAGAACCTCCCAACAAAGGATTCCACAAGGCAATAAGAACTCACACCTTGAAACTGTTGGGCCATTAAATACTAATCAAGGTGGCCAATTGAAACATTCACACCTACCTCAAACATACAAGAGTTCTTTCTCCCACCCTGGAGATTCCAGATACTAAACCCCATTTTCCTAGTTTCCAACAGAACGCACAACATCTGAGGATGCCTGCTATAGATCCAGATGAAACGTCAGAAGAGACTGCTTCTAGAACATGGCTACAGAGCCCGGAAAACTCACAACAACCCAGTGGTTCCGGCCATAAAAGCCTTCAGTATAAAGCTATCTTGAAACACAGGCAGCACTTAGCAAATCCAAAACAGAGCTCAGCTTGGCTTTCCATGTTCAAGGCTGGGAAACAGCCAGATCCTGCTGGATGGCAATTCCCATCAGGCCCAATTGGCATAGTTGATAGTGAAGGATGATAAAAGAGCCAGTGCCGTGACAGCTGGAACACCACCCACCACTATGGTAACCAGCAAGAGAGATGAAGTAGTTCCATGCTGCACTAATCTATGTTTTTTTATCTGTAGGGTTTCATAAATCTCATCTCTTCACTGATTTTGTTGAAGGTTAATGATGTAATGGCAACGATGAAGTGGCAGCCACTGCAATCCAATGCGATACTTCTCAGAGACAGCACCTACCATTTGTCGACCTCGGGCCACAGCAGCATGTACATTCTTGAGGGAGCCATCATTCTCCTCAAAGACCTCAGCTGACCAGATAGCACAGTTGACATGAGTCCATTCATTTTGGCCAATGTACAGTAGCCTTCCAGCATCCTGGAAGGAGGCCAAAAACTTGTGTTAAGAAGAAGAGGAACCACCAAGGACGCTGCATGAGATGTAAACCCCATTCTTCCTGAAACAAGGCAGTACTCAATCGAACATTTAAACCCCTTCTTCCTGCTCCAGAACAGACAGTGAAGAAGCTGGAGATCACCAGCCTCTTCCCCAATTCCTGATGCCACTTCTCCAGGAAAGAGAAGCGAATACCAATACCCAAGTGGGATGGACAGTTTCTGTCAGTGGTCACTATCGCTGTTCTTCGATTCTAAGATGCCACTGATTGTAATTTCAACACCACAAACAGAAAAAAAGCTTTATTTATATGTATAAAAACACCCACAATTCCAAAACCCACTCCATTTTAATATGTTTATACAGTATAGTAAAAACTGCATCTCAGAATTGAAGAAATACAGTGATTATTTTAACTTATCATCTATGATTACTAATTATCATAGCTATATGTTAGTTCCAGGATCAGAAATAGTGTGCCTCCAAATACCCATTGCTGGGAATCAAAAGTGGAAGAGGGCTCTGGCCTTCAAGGCCTCCTTGTTGAGCAAGGCATCTGGCTGGCTACTGTGAAAAATAGTATGCTGGACTACATCTATCACAAGATGAAGCATGCACTGAAATCCAGCAAAGCTCTTACCTTCTCAATAGCGTCTACCCTTACCTTGGAGGGAGCATCACCATACTGGAGACATAGAGCACACTGTCTCTTATCCTCCGGGTCGGCCAACGGCTCCTGTGGTGAGGCATGGTCTGCATCTTTCGGAGCTACAGCAAAAGGAGGAATGGAACGGACACACAAAGGAGCCCCATAAATAGCCATCCCAGAAAATATTCTAGAAAAGAGGAGATCTTTCACACAGAATCCAAGAAGACTGAGGCAGCACAAAGGGATATATACTCAAGTATAAGCTGACCTGACTATAAGCTGAGGCACCTAATTTTACCACAAAAAAACTGGGAAAACGTACTGACTCGAGTATAAGCCGAGGGTGGAAAATGCAGCAGCTACTGGTAAATTTCAAAATAAAAACAGATACCAATAAAATTACATTAATTGAGGCATCAGTAGGTTAAATGTTTTTGAATATTTACATAAAAATGTAATTTAAGATAAGACTGTCCAACTTTGATTAAACCATTATTCTAACTTTCTTCGATGTAAATGTGCTTACGTATCCTTCCAGTAATAATAGAGCGAGTAAAATAATAAATGTAATAATAACAGTAATAATAGAGTAAAATAGTTAATGTAATAAAATAATAAAGTAAAATAATGTAAATGTAATAATAACAATAATAATAGAATAAAATAATAAATGTAATAATAATAGCGTAAAATAATGTAAATGTAATAATAATAATATTAATAGAGTAAAATAATAAATCTTTGAACTCGAGTATAAACCGAGGGGGGGTTTTTTCAGCCTACAAAAGGGCTGAAAAACTCAGCTTATACTCTAGTATATACAGTACCTCAAACAGGGGTTCTTTTACACTACATAGTTGTCATGCTATGTTTCCATTTTAACTGCCATGTCTCCAACCTAGGGAATTCTAACATTGCAATTTGGGAAGGAGTAGCCAGACAGCTCCAAGTTACAAACCCCAGGATTCCATAGGACAGGAAATAGACAATCTAGTGTGAAAATGGTGAAGTGTGAAAGTACTAAAATCCCAAAGAGCTGCTGCTGGGGAGTGTACCCCAGAAGCTGAATGACAGCCCCCAACACTCCTCATTGCTGGTGGTCTGCTGGCAATTAGAGTTCAACAAGATAAGGGGGCCACAAGTTTCTCATCCCTGGTACAAAATAATGCTCATTAGGATAGACCACAGGTCTGATTCAGTGGTGTTATTACATTCACAATGAGTGGAAATCTAACAGCCAATGCCCTCCTTGACACGTATAAACTTTGAGGTAATCTTCCTGCACTTCAGTTTCTGCCCTCAAAACACACTCTCCCCCTGCCCTTAATTAAAGGCCTACCTCCTCCCTTGGAAACCTATTCTCCCTCAGACACACATTCTTATCTCACCCAGGGTTTTTATCAATTTTACTCCTAGCACATTTGGTCCGCCCCATGTTTCATCTTTCTATCATGTTGTTTTTGAGACCGTTTATTTTATTCTGTCATTTCATGTGTTTATTTTGATGCTATTTTGTTTCTTTGAATTTTGTCTTGTTGTATTGTTACTTTTGGGCTTGGCCTCACGTTAGCCACCCCGAGTCCCCTTCGGGGAGATGGTGGCGGAGTATAAATAAAGTTTATTATTATATTATTAAATGCCCACTTCCCCTGAAGACCTTTTTCGCAGAGCCTTACCTATTTTTTCAGAACCACTGAAAGTCGAATGACTCTTAGTAGCTGGCTTGGTCTCCTCGGGCTGCCTCCATTGAGCATAGATGTGGTCAGAAGAAGGAGGCAGGACAGCATTAGGAAGCATGCCACTGTTGGAGGAGCAAAAGAGAAGGGACATCAGGTGCTGCAGAGATGATTCCAAAGCATTTCATTCTAAGGGAGCAGCTTATTTCCATTACACAGCCCATTTTCTTGGTGTTTTGGTTTTTAGGCCTATTCCTGGGGTAATTTGTGTTGCTCAAGTCTGCAGTCCTCAATGAGGAGAAGTTAGTTAACATTAGAATGATCTGAGGCTTTCCCTTCCCCTATGTCTTCCTGTATAACAGTTGGGAATGTTTCTTTTTCATCTCTCTTCTCTGTTTCAACTCTCATTCTGATTGGTTGTTTATATTGCAAGTTTTTTGAATCTGACTTCTGCCTTCTTACACTTCAGTATGGAGAGTATGTGCTGTGTGTTTTGAGATCTCTCTCTGCTTGTGTGTCAGGAGAGTGAGTTTTTCCCTCTCTTTGAAACCTTTGAATAGGTGGGTGTTAGAGCAGTTCAGACCCAGTGCTGTACTCAGAAGAAATGGAGTTAGTTCTTATTATTGTCAACAAACCTTTTGTGATTTTTTTTAAAAATGGACTCTGCATCTTTGCCTACCTAAGCTCTACATTCTTTACAGCCACATCACACGGCACTTCATGCTTTGCTTGCTGTGAACGGATGCTCAAACTTTTAGTATCATGTTGGTTTTTGGATGCTCTGCTATATTTAAGGGTAGTTTCCCCTGCAGTCTGCAGTCCGCAATGAGGAGAAGTTAGTTAACATTAGAATAGTCTGAGGCTTTCCCTTCCCCAATGGGAATATTTCCTTAGTACTCAAACTCCTCTACAAAAGCTCTTTTATTTCTTGTAGGAAGTACCACAATTCTATTTATTCTTATTTGTTAATTCTCTATACTGTTAAGGAAAACTACCCTATTATGTAGCAGAGCATCCAAAAACGAGCAGGATACAAAAGCTGAGCATCAGCTTATTAGCAAGTGGAGTATGAAATGCATGTAATGTGGCTGTAAAAAAATATTAGACTTTAGGAGGCAAACATGCAGAGTGCAATCTTAAATAAATCACAAAAAGTTTATTTACAATAATAAGAAATAGCTGCATTTCTTAATAATCTAGAACTGGGTCTGAGCTACTCTAACACCCATTTCTTCTAAGGTTTCAAGAGAGGGAAAAACTCAATCACTACATCTCTCCTAACACACAAGAAGAGAGAGATCTCAAAGCACACAGCACATACTTTATATGCTAAACTGTAAGAAAGTAGGTCAGATTCAAAAAGCTTGCAGTAGAAAATGATCCATTTTAAACAAACAATGAAAATGAGAGCAGAAACAGAGAGAAGAAAAAGATACATTCCTAACTGTCATTCAGGAGACATAGGGGAAGGGAAACCCTTAGTCTATACCAGGGGTCCTCAAACTTTTTAAACAGAGGGCCAGGTCACAATTCCTCAAACTGTTGGAGGGCCGGATTATAATTTGAAAAAAAATATGAATGAATTCCTATGCACACTGCACATATTTTATTTGTAGTGCAAAAAACACTTAAGAACAATACAATAATTAAAATGAAGAACAATTTTAACAAATATAAACTTATTAGTATTTCAATGGGAAATGTGGGCCTGCTTTTGGCTGATGAGATAAGATTGTTGTTGTTGTTGTGTGCTTTCAAGTCATTTCAGACTTAGGTTGATCCTGAGAAAGGGCCGGGGAAATGACCTTGGAGGGCCTTAGTCTGACCCTCGGGCCTTAGTTTGAGGACCCCTGGTCTTTACTATACTCTAACCCTTACCGTAATCCTATATTAAACTAATAGCTCCTCCTTGAGGACTTGGGCAGCGTGGGGTTGAATCCCAACATATGCATCCCACCTTTCTCCCTAACCCTAACACTAACCCAGAACATTATAGACAGAAAGTTTCATATACATTCCAATAAACTTGGAATTTCAGGCCTCCCTGTCCTCTGCTTAAACAGCATTGCAGTGCTTTTCAGCTTGAACCTCAGTTTCAGCCTCTGAACACTCACTTGGGAAGGGTGGTGTTATGTATCCAGTGCTTTTCATCCTGAGCATCAAACCAGCTGAAGAACTTTCCCATTAGCTGGAAGGAGAAAAAGCACGGACAATCATATCATTATTATAGCTGGAGAGGTGGTATTCCATGGTACATGTCCAGGAATGTACATGCACACATGCGTGCACATACTCCTGCTTCCATTTCCCGATCAAGACAGGTCAACCCCGCCAGGACCCATGCCACAAATCCAGATCATACAGAGTACCTCAACATAGAGTGCCTTTGCAAGAAGGCTGTTCTGCTGATCTTCGGTTTGCCCCAAAAGGACTCCTACCATGTCCTCATTGAAGCTGTGCTGCAGAGAGAGAAAGAAGCTAAGCAGAGGGCAGAAGCTAACCTCTTATTTGCCAGCTTCACCCTGGAACCCCTGTTCCTGACACTCACCACAGATGAGTAGTGACCCTCTTCAAAAAGCTTGTTGACGGTGCACAGGTCACAGGGCCGCAGATGAACCCTCACACCATCATCCGGACAACACTGAAAAATAAGCAGAGAGATAAGTAAAACTGAGAACTAAGATCTATTCTAGTCTGAATTCCACTGCAGAGTCCTTTCCATCAGTAACAGACTACTTTGGTCAAGGGCAGTATACAAATGGAAGAAATAAATAAAAACATAAAAACATAATAAATTAATAACCTCTTCTTATAAGTGGCTTGTGGTGTAGCAGGCAGAAATAGGACCCCTTTCTTGGGTCAGAGATCAATTACATGAGGGGGATATGGAACAGACAGCTACTGACAAGGGAACCCACCCAATTGATCACAGCAATTGTTGCCCAGCAAAAACAGAACTGGTCATCTTTCATGGTCTCTATGAGTCCCTTAAACTAGGGGCTATGTAGGGATCATGAATGGAAAACAGTCAGAAGTAGATAGGTAGATCTAAGTTGTTCATTCTTTACTTCCAAGATAATTCCTGACTTTTTTTACTTGCCCTTTATTTGTCTAATAAAGTTTTAAATGAAAATTAATTTTAGAGAGAATCCAAATCCAAAGGCAACTCATGTTTTTTTAAATAGAATTACAGGTTGTAAATTTATGTCATTGTCTTTTGGTATGTACTTGTATTTTACGCATGTTGCACCACTGAGTGCTTTTATGAGCCTCCCTGAGTCCACTTGGGGAGATGGTTGTGGGATACAAATAAAGTTGATTGTTCAGTGTAATTGCTTGTTGTTTATTAATTGGATAATGTGTTAAGTGGTCAATTGTTATATGTGCATTGAATTATTGCTGTTTTTATTGTGTGTAAACCGCTGTGAATCGCCTTCGGGCTGAGAACAGCGGTATATAAGCAAAGTAAATAAATAAATAAATAAATAAAGTTTTATTATTACTTTATTAAATGTTCAACTCTATTTCATTCGGCCCAAATATGGAATTTTAGGGTCACAAGAAGCTGCAGTTGTGTTAAGATCATCTCTTTCAATACAATCAAAGTCTTAAAAAGCCGAAGGTTTGTGGGCTACAGAATTCTGAGGGTTGCATCCATGAACATAATACAATCTATAGCTCTGAATTCGACATCCATGAGGGAGGGAGTACCAATGGCTGCTCTGGCCAGAGAAAAGACAGAAGGGAGCAGAAGACACTTCCATCTTGCCTTCTGCCTATATCATCAGTTGGGAGGCCCTTCCCCCCTGTGGCACCAATGGCTGCTCTGGTCAGAGCAAAGACAAAGGGGAGCAGAAGACACTTCCATCTTGTCTTAACTAATAATATAATATAGTATATTGTATATACATATAATATTTATAATATTATAATGCAATACAATATAATACTAGTAATAATAATACAATATTATATTTATAATTATATATTTACATTACATGTAATGTTACTAATAATATTACAATATAATGGTATAGTGCAATATAGTAAAATCTAAAACTGATATTGTACTATGCTAATAATATAATATATTGTATGAAAATATATACTGTAAGCTGCTCTGGGTCCCCTTCGGGGTGAGAAGGGCGGCATATAAATGCCGTAAATAAATAAATAAATACAAAGAGGATACCTGCGCACACTGGAGTAGTGGAGTTGCACACTTAGAGCTCATCAGTCCCTGTAGCACTTGTCGAAGGCTCTTTCGCAGCTCCAAGCCAAGGACCTCGCGCCACTTTGCCTTGTCACTGCCACAGCAGGGCCGGCAAGAATAGACAACACTCTCAGGCAAGTTGGATAAGATCTCATAGCCTTCATCTTTATGGAAAGAGAGCGAAGTAGTACATCAGACAAGCTCAGTCCTAATCCTACAACTGACAAGCTCTTCTGACATGCCTACATGAATGTTGGACTCATCCTACCAAGTGCAAGGAGTGGCGAGGATCCCAAAGTAGAAATGATCTCAGACAGGCAACCCAAAAAACCATCTCTGTCATTTTGTCATTTTCTCACTTATAACAACTTTCCCAAACCCACCATCCCTTTGTGTGTTTGCATAGGGGAGAAGAGTTAATATGCGTACCAGGGAGGGGACTGTTGCAGTACAGAAGAGCACAGCTTGTGCCCTTGGGCTACTTGTGGCTTTTGGGCACTCTTACCTCCATCCCAACCCCCAAATCAAGCCTATAACCCTGCAGCTAACCTGGGATACAAAGTAAACAAAACATTCCTGCTTTACACTCAAGACTCTAATTTTCTCACTACTAGTAGTGGCAGAGAAATCATGAGTTTGGAAGTGATTTTTGGGAAAAAGGTGTTAAACCTCTCATTTTCAAGGTGCTGCAACAAAAGGAGGGGAAAATCCACATTAGGTATCTGCTGAGAGGGTTGAGAATGTTGGGTAATATCAAAAAGGAAAAAGCATTTAAAAGGTAAATCGGCAACAACAGCAGAAGCTTTAGCCGATCAGCTTCTTGAGCATAGCAGTGGTCGAAGGCTTTCATGGCCAGAATCACTAGTTTACTGTGAGTTTTTGGGCTGTATGGCCATGTTCCAGAAGCATTCTCTCCTGACGTTTCACCCACATCTATGGCAGGCATCTTCAGAGGTTGTGAGGTTTGTTAGAAACTAGGCAAGTGAGGTTGATGTATCTGTGGAATGTTCAGGGTGGGAGAAAGAGCTCTTGCCTGCTTGAGGCAAGTGTAAATGTTGCAATTGGCCACCTTGATTAGCATTGAATGGCCTTGGAGCTTCAAAGTCTGGCTGGTTGCTGCCTGGGGGAATCCTTTGTTGGGAGATGTTAGCTGGCCCTGATTGATTCTTGTCTGGGATTCTCCTGCTTTTTGAGTGTTCCTCTTTATTTACTGTCCTGATTTTTGAGTGTTTTTTTTAAATACTGGTAGCCAGATTTTGTTCATTTTCATGGTTTCCTCTTTTCTGCTGAAACTGTCCACATGCTTGTGGGTTTCAATGGCTTCTCTTTGTTGTCTCACATGGTGGTTGTTAGCGAGTGGTGCAGCATTTCTGTATTCTCAAACAATATGCCGTGTCCATGTTGGTTCATTAGATGATCTGCTATGGCTGACTTCTCAGGTTGAATTAGTCTGCAGTGCCTTTCATGTTCCTTGATTTGTGTTTGGGCCATGCCGGGCTGCACAGTGAAGCCATTGAAATCCAAAGGATGTGGACAATTTTGGGAGGCTGTAAGAAAATACGTATATGGAGAATGTGTGCAAAACTCATACACATGTGTGTGCTATTCCTCCCACCTAGCCAGGTCAGAATTGAAATGTCTCTATATACCCCAAGCTGGGCATAGCACAAACCTGAAAGCCCCTCACACTTGGCATGAACCCAGTGGTCACACTTGGCACATTGCATCATTTTGCTCTCATAGTCATTGTCTTCATAGCAGTGCAAGCAAATTGGACAGTAGTTTCCTGGATGGGAAAGCGAGAAGACAAATTAATGGAACCTTTCTTGTGACAATCCGATTATATCTGATGTAATCAAGAGGCTTTGGGTCACCCCACTATTCCTATCACTTATCCCATAAACTTTCAGCCTGCAAATCATCTTCAATTAACAAAAACTCAACATAAAGTATTGGTAACAAATAAAAAATTGAATAGCATCAGTAAACATCAAGTAAAACAGGAAGCTTTATTTCAGCAACTTCAAAAATTAAAAATTCCTAAGTCTGGGATTTTTTTTTTAAATTTCCCCATCAGCGCATACACTAGACAGGTCTCCTAAATAAAAGATTCCAAACATAAGTGATCATTACTGAAAATGTTTCTTGCTACTACCGAGCACAGCTCAGAAGGCAGAGACAGCTTGAAGATACCTTAAAGCAGATCTTTCCAAATTGTGTGTCTTATCTCATTCGTGTTTTAGCTGCAATGTATAGGGCAAGTGAACATAATGACAACTATCTGAGCCTATCTGAAACACACAATAAATCATATAGTTTTAAATATATAAATGAAAGGGTTTTTATGACATACGTTGTATCCCCATAAATTTCATTATTACAGTTTGCAGATGTGTCCATATCTCTTATATGGTTTACTCTCTGGTTTGCTAGTAAAACTCAGTTAAGATAAAGGTAAAGGTTTCCCCTTGACATTAAGTCTAGTCATGTCCGACTCTGGACTCTCGAACCACCAACCTTTTGGTCAGCAAGTTCCGCAGTTTAGAGGTTTAATCCGCTGCACCACCAGGGGACCCAATTCTTGTGTCAATTAATGTTTCACAAAAGATGCAAGTGTGCCACTAACATGAAACATTTGGAAAGCTATGCCTCAAGACAATGCTGTAATAGTGGGCTACTACTGGGGGAGACAATCTAGAAGTTGTTCAGGCCTCAAGATGCTAAGTGATCCTCATTTAAGGCCATTCTGAACACACGCTAAGGTGTCCTGGACAATCAAAATTCAAGATTATTAAGACAGGATATTTTAAAACAAAAATGCAATCTGAGAACACAACCCTTTCCTAGTACATGAAGTCCCAGAATTACAAACATCCAACTTACAAATGATTCATAGTTAAGAACCGCGGTGGGACAACAGGAAGTGAGAGAAATCTACCCTTTTGAAGGGAAATTCATTCATGGAAGAGTTTTCATGGAGAAAAAGGTGTCTCAACAGAAACTTTATCACAAATCCTTGTTTCCACAAGTCAAGTTTTTCAAAAGCCAATTGTCACAGGGACAGAAAGTGGGGTGAAATCTTCTGAACAGGGGCACAGACAGCAAAACAAAACCACAGGAGTGTTAAACTTTCCCTATGCTATCCTGAGCTTATCTATCTATCTATCTATCTATCTATCTATCTATCTATCTATCTAGCTGAAGTTACACTTTAAAAATGTATCTGTTCTGACTTATAAACAAATTCAACTTAAGAACAAACCTACAGAACTTATCATGTTCGTAACTTGGGACTGCCTGTACACGGAAATATGGTCTTCTGTGAATCAGTCACTGGAGAATTATAATTACTAGCTTTGGAAGAGCAGAGAACAGAGATGTGCAAATTTTGTGTTTCCACTCATTAATATCACCTACAACTGTCATGCTGGTAACAGCTGATAGAGGTTGTGGTCCATCAACATCCTACAGAAGCTATGAATATACACATTTTTTTTTTGTGTAAATACATGCCTGCAATTATACTGGATCCCACTATTGCATCACCACCTTATTTAATGGCGTATAAGGACTGGAATCAGAACACAGACTAATTCCCTCAATTTCAGCTCATCCAAAGCGTTCATGTCCCAAGATTACTCTCTCAAGGCCCTCTTCACTCTTTAGCCAAGCTGAATTAAAGATGAAACCAGCCCAATTTTTCAAAGGGTCCATTTCTCTCACCTTTATCATGCAGCACAGAGCAGGCAGAGCACAAACTGTAGTCATTCGACCACTCAGTGTCCCAGTTCTTCCCTGGAGCTGTCCCACAACTCTTGCACCGGATGCAGGCTGAACAAACCTGAAGAGCATGAAGAAGACCAATGAGTGAAACATGAAAAAGAAAAGACTCTGTCTGCAGGACTAAGAGTGAATAATATTATTTAGTATTTATTTTTATCTCACCCCGAAGGGGACTCAAGGTGGCTTACAACTCTGGCAAAATTCAATGCTGTTTACAGCATAATAAACTATAAAATATTGAAGACATGTGAACAAATACATAAAGCAATAAAACAGATTATAAATTGCAAAATGTTAGCCAGGACATTATCTAGACTTGTAAACTTTGTGCTTGACAGGTACTTACCCAGCCTTTCCTCTTACGGAAGGGTTTAGTGGGGTAGTTGGGTCCCAGACAAGCCAAGTGATAGCAGTTCCGGCAACGCTCACATTCCAGTAGTTGCTGCAACAGTGGAAGAAAAGGACAAAGGGGAGCAAACTGTTACCCAGGAGTTTGGAATGAGAATCCATTAAGTATCCATTCATTAATTTGTTTAATCAAATGCTATTGTTGTTTTATGTTAGGTTTCATTCGTATGTGAGGCATTAAATTTTGCCATAAAAATGTTGGAAACTGCTTTGAGTCCCCCCTGGGGTGAGAAAAGTGGCGTACAAGTAAAGTAAATAAATATGTAATTTATATTCCCTTTCTCCCAATATGGGATTTAAAGCGGCTTATCATATAAGTTAAACCAGATAAAGCAATATGTAGTACAGAAGTTTAAAATCAATGAATAGCCAGTCAATTATAACAATAATGTAAAACAATTAAAAACAATCAAGTTACATTGCAAGTTATCCTTCCTTCAAAAACTTATGCATGGGAAAATACAGGCCTTGGGATCATCTAAACCAGGCCCTTACAATCTGCAGTGTTCCAGGTGTTTTGGACATCAACTTCCAGAATTCTTGACCACTGCACAAGCTAGCTAGGACTTCTGGGAATTGAAGGCCCAAACACCTGAAGGGTTGAAGGTTGTAAAAACCTGGTCTAAACCAAAGATGTACAGGGCTGACTGAATTACAGGCAATTCAAATTGTGCCTGGAACTGAGCCAAAATAGAGGTGGTGCAGCAGTTTAAACCATTGAGCTGCTGAACTTGCTGACTGAAAGGTTAGTGTGTTTTGAATCTGGGGAGCGGGGTGACTTCCCGCTCTTAGGCCCAGCTTCTGCCAACCTAGCAGTTTGAAAACATGCAAATGTGAGTAGATCAATAGGTACCGCTTCTGCGGGAAGGTAACGGCGCTCCATGCAGTTATGCTAGCAACATGACCTAGGAGGTGTCTACGGACAATGTCAGCTCTTTGGCTTAGAAATGGAGATGAACATCACACCCCAGAGTCAAACACAACTCGACTAATTGTCAGGGGAAATCTTTTAACTTTACTACAGAATCTACTCAGAAAAATAATTTCAAGAATTCTGTGCCTTTTCTCCACATTTCCAAAATCATGGCAGATGTGCAACTTGGCTGCAGAATATGTATGCATAAAATCATAGAATAACAGAATAGACCACATGGGCCATCTAGTCCAACCCCCTGCCATGCGGGAAAAGCACAATCAAAGTATCCCTGACAGATGGCCACCCAGCCTCTGTTTAAAAGCTTCCAAGCAAAGAGCTTCCACCACACTCCGAGGCATATCCCGGACACTCCCTGCAGAGAACACCCAGGTTGAGTAACTCTCCTCACTTGCCTTGGATGCCTTGTTTTTGCGGCCACAGACATGGCAGAATTTGCAACGTCTGCAACACCAGCTCTCCTCCTGCTCAGGTAGTGGCTGCTCATCCTCCTCCAGGCAGAAGACATGAAAGGGGTCACAACATACTTGGCAGAACACAAGCTGCAAGGGATACAAGAGACAGTTGCTTTAGACAAGCATGATTGACAGAAACAGAAAACCTTGCACATTGAAGCCTCTTTTATTTTAAACTGGATGTTTAAAGACATTCCCTTGTTTAATTAAAAATCTCCCTCAATCAGCGCTTTCTGGGAGATTGAATTTAAAAAAGAAAACTTTCCCGAGTTCTGAAAACTCTATGCTATTCCATCCCATTCCATTGTGCATCCAAGGTGAGTAACCTGAACTCTTCTCTCCAACCCAGACCACTTTCTCCCAAGGTGAGAGTCATCTGAACATCCGAACTACCCCCATCCTGTTTCTCAGACGCACCTGATGGAGGCCCTTGCTAGCACAGAGCAGGCACACAAGCTGTGTGGTCACTGGCACTGAGGCAAGGATGCTGAGGCCACCCATGAGCCAGACGTTCTCCAGGTCACAGTCTTCCTACAAGACACCAATGTGGGAAAAGGATTGCTGTGAAAGTTTCAGAACCATAGGCAATGGGCTGCTGAACTTTACAAAAAGACCTTTTCTGGATTTAAACATGTCAGAAATATTAAGTCAACTAGGTATTTTGGATTACAAAAATGTGAGTCAAGTACTAAAAGTTAGTAGGCTGAAGCCTGTTAAGAGTCAGTGGGCCAAAGCTAGTGTCGTCCTGAGGAGAGTGAGTAGGCCAAAGCCTGTTAGAGTTAGTGGGCCAAAGCTAGTGTTGTTCTGAGGAGAGTAAGTAGGTCGAAGCCTGTTAAGAGTCAGTACGCCAAAGCTAGTGTTGTCCTGAGAAGAGTAAGTAGGCTGAATACTGTTAGAGTCAGTGGGCCAAAGCTAGTGTCGTCCTGAGGAGCGTGAGTAGGCCGAAGCTTGTTAAGAGTCAGTGGGCCAAAGCTAGTGTCGTCCTGAGGAGAGTGAGTAGGCCGAAGTCTGTTAGTCAGTGGGCCAAAGCTAGTGTCGTCCTGAGGAGCGTGAGTAGGCCGAAGCCTGTTAGTCAGTGGGCCAAACTGGTGTCGTCCTGAGGAGCATGAGTAGGCCGAAGCTTGTTAAGAGTCAGTGGGCCAAAGCTAGTGTCGTCCTGAGGAGAGTGAGTAGGCCGAAGCCTGTTAGAGTCAGTACGCCAAAGCTAGTGTCGTCCTGAGGAGAGTGAGTAGGCCGAAGCCTGTTAGTAAGTGGGCCAAAGCTAGTGTCGTCCTGAGGAGAGTGAGTAGGCCGAAGCCTGTTAGAGTCAGTGGGCCAAAGCTAGTGTCTTCCTGAGGAGCATGAGTAGGCCGAAGCTTGTTAAGAATCAGTGGGCCAAAGCTAGTGTTGTCCTGAGGAGAGTAAGTAGGCCGAAGTCTGTTAGTCAGTGGGTCAAAGCTAGTGTTGTCCTGAGTAGACTGAGTAGGTTGAAGCCTGTTAGAGTCAATACGCCAAAGCTAGTGTTGTCCTGAGGAGCATGAGTAGGCTGAAGCCTGTTAGTCAGTGGGCCAAAGCTAGTGTCGTCCTGAGGAGCGTGAGTAGGCCGAAGCTTCATAAGAGTCAGTGGGCCAAAGCTAGTGTTGTCCTGAGGAGAGTAAGTAGGCTGAAGTCTGTTAGTCAGTGGGTCAAAGCTAGTGTTGTCCTGAGGAGACTGAGTAGGTCGAAGCCTGTTAGAGTCAGTATGCCAAAGCTAGTGTTGTCCTGAGGAGCGTGAGTAGGCCGAAGCCTGTTAGTCAGTGGGCCAAACTGGTGTCGTCCTGAGGAGAGTGAGTAGGGCCAAAGCTAGGGTCGTCCTGAGAAGAGTGAGTAGGCCGAAGCCTTTTAGAGTCAGCGCGCCAAAGCTAGCGTTGTCCTGAGGAGAGTGAGTAGGCCGAAGCCAGTTAGAGTTAGTGGGCCAAAGCTAGTGTCGTCCTGAGGAGTGTGAGGTAAACCTCTGTATGAGAGAAGCCTCATGTGAGAAAGCTCCAGTATGAAGGCTGTTGTGTGTAAGGACGCTATGTATTCATTTGTGTTACGGGAACCTTATTTTTGTAAATACAGCAACCATATTATTTTACTATAAAGAAAAGCCTCCTATGGAAGACATAACATTGGTCTGTGTGTTTTTGTTACTTTTATCACTTTGAGCTACTGGTGTTGGGTCATACTGTTGCTGATAAGTTACTTTGCTATAAATTTATGAGGAGGGTATTTTGTTAATAAGCCCACCCGCCCAACAAAACAGACTACAGTGTATCAAAAACATGGGGAAATATCTCCCCTTGTCTCCTTAAGACATTTGAAGTTTGAATAACAGCAGTTTTTAGTCATTCTAGGAGACAAGGTATAAATGCACTTTGAAGCCTTTTCTGTTGTTAACTCTTTCCTACGCTATCCATATGCTATGAATTTGTATGTAAGTCTGAACAGATACATCTTTTGTGTAACTCCAGCCAGTCAGCGATCCATCCATCCACACACACACACACATACATATGGCTGGCTGGCTGGAGTTACACAAATATTGTGTAACTCCAGATATATATATATATATATATATATATAGAGAGAGAGAGAGAGAGAGAGAGAGAGAGAGAGAGAGCGAGCGCACTAGCACTGGAGTTACACAAAAATGTAGCTGTTCAGACTTGCATACAAACTTAACTGAAGATCACACCTACAGAACTTATCTTGTTTATAACTTGGGGACTGCCTGTATTTAGAATTCTCAACCAAAAAGCTCTAAAAGTAAAAAAACAAAACTATAAAATCAAGGATTTAGCAGGGTGCTGCCATAGCAGTTATAGTAGATCACAGCACCATAATTATAGTAATAATAATAAATCTTTATTTCTATCCCGCTTTTCTCCCTAAAAGGGACCCAAAGCGGCTTACAGCATTACATAAAAGACAATATGCATATGTAAAACAATAACCTATGAAAACAAATTTACAATGAGAAATAAATAAACGCATTTAAAAACATTTGGCTAATTTTTTTTTCATGTCAGGAACAACTTGAGAAACTGCAAGTCACTTCTGGTGTGAGAGAATTATTATTGTTATTATTATTATTATTATTATTATTATTATTATTAACTTTATTTGTACCCCGCTAACATCTCCCGAAGGACTCAATGCGGCTTACAAAGGCCAAGGCCTCAATAAAACAACAATATGACAAATACACATAAATCATAAAGCAAATCAAAAACCTTAAAGCAGTAACAGAAAAATAATAAAACAATGCACAATAACACTGTAAAAACTAGGGCCGGGCCAAATGTTATGGATACAGATTAAAAAGTGCTGGGTATGACAGGTGGAATATAGGGATTTAGGGTAAGTGCAATGTGCAGACAATCTTAAATCTCTATTAAAGTGCTCCTGGGACATGATTGCTGGGTTCCTATTCTGGAAAGGCACACCGGAATAGCTAAGTCTTCAAGCTCTTCCTGAAGACTGCCAACGTAGGGGCTTGTCTGATGTCCTTGGGAAGGGTGTTCCAGAGTCGGGGGGCTACCACAGAGAAGGCCCTGAGAATTGCCCATCTGCAAGGACGTTGCCCAGGGGATGCCCGGATGTTTTGATGTTTTACCATCCTTGTGGGAGGCTTCTCTCATGTCCCCGCATGGGGAGCTGGAGCTGACAGAGGGAGCTCATCCGCCCTCTCCCCAGATTCAAACTTCCAACCTGCCAGTCTTCAGTCCTGCCGGCACAAGGGTTTAACCCATTGTACCACCGGGGGCTCCAACTAATACAATTATTGTAGGCAATTCAACAACACAGATGGTAAACATTAGCATGTGAAATGGCTCCAGATGTCTTTCAGGCAGACAAGGCATACCCTCACCTTGAAATCAACCCTGAGCCGGTGGATGCCATCTGTGGATTTCTGTTTCCCATTCCAGCCATTGGAAAAGGATGAGAACGAGCCAGAATTGGTGAAATCCTACAAAAAGCAAGGGCAGTGAAAAGGTAAGAGATTGTCCCAAAACCTTGTGTGTACACAACAGGAGATAAATATATTCTACATTCTGCAAAATGGGGTAATGGCTTCTATACTTAGACCAGCAGACTTTAGAAGACAAGGTTTATTTGAAATGTTGCATAGAAAGATTTAATTATAAATATTGGACTACAGTCATTTATGATAACCTCCATAATTGAGACAACAAGAAGAAACCAAAAATGTAAGTGGCTATTCAATCATATCAAATAACTAGCTTTAGCAGCTTTAATTCTCACCAGCAGCAGGTCTTTCGTAAAGGTAATGGGGTGGGATGGGAACCCTAATAGAAAAACCATCAAATAAAATCTAAACCACTGTCAAATTCCTTCAGTAGTAAAATATCCACTTAAGTCCATCTGTTTTGCAATCCTTTTTAAAGGAAAAAATAAGACATTTAGCATATATACATACAGCCCAATACATTTATTGTCCCCATACATTTCGTGTCTAAGGCAAAGCAGCAATTTCATCTCAACAGAGAAATCCAAGACATGGTGATCTGTAATATTTTAAGTCCAATGCTCTACTATTGTCTATCCCAAAACAGTTACTATTCTGTTCTAAGGGCACCAACTGCCGATTACTCTAGGCTTGCTGTGGGATTTTGAGAATTCCAGTAAAAAAGAGACTCCCAAAGTTTGACATTATCATCTTCTACTCATTTCTTGCCAAAGCCTCACCTTCTCAGGCTTCTTCCTGGCTTTTAGCTGCACCACAGGCTGCAGTGGTGTTCTTCGGGGTCGACTTTGCTCCTCAGAATCCATGGGAAGTAAATCTGGGAAGACAGTAAGGCACTGCAGGTCAACAAGCCATCTAGGATGAGTGACACCTGGCTTGAAAACAGTACATGTGAAAGGGATTTAGGAGCCCTAGTAGACTGCAAACTGAACGTGAGTCAACAGTGTGATGCGGCAGCTTAAAAAGCCAATGCACTTCTGGATCACATAATAGGAGAATAAGTGTCTAGATCAAAGGAAGTCATAGTGTTCCTCTATTCTGCTTTGGTCAGACCTCTCCTGGAATATTGTGTCCAGTTCTGGGTACTGCAATTCATGAAGGGTATTGATAAGCTAGAATGTGTCCAGAGAAGGATGATTAAAACAATCAACGGTCTGGAAGCCAAGTCCCATGAGCAGCAGATTAAGGGGCTTGGTATGCTTAGCTTGGAGAAAAGAAGGTTGAGAGGGGACATGATAGCCATGTTTAAACATCTGAAAGGATGTCATATTGAGGAGGGGACAGGCTTGTTCTTTGGAGACTAAAATATGGAGCAATGGATTTAAATTGTGAGAAAAGAGATCCCATCTAAACTTCCTGATGGTAAAAACTGTTGGCCAGTGGAATGTGCTGCCTTGGAATGTGGGCGTCTCCTTCTCTGGAGCTTTTAAAGCAGAGGCTGGATAGCCATCTGTTGAGAGTGATTTTATCATGTTTTTCCTTGGAGAGGATAGTCTTTGTGGTCTCTTCAAACTCTGTTTTTCTATTATTCTTTCCCAATCACCTCTGATCATACGAAGCCATATTATTTTTCTGACAAGTAGGAAGCTTCAAGTGCTGTACAACATGGAATTAAGTCTTGCACAATGCAGGGGGGGGGGGCAACTGTGCTGCTTAAATGAAGCAGGGAGTGAGGGATTTCTTCCAGAATGTGTTCAGAAATCTCCAAATAGGGCACATGCTTGGAACTTTGTTTTCCTATGTGGAAAGGAGACGGGATGTGATCTATGATTGCTGACTTGGCTCCAGGGCTATAGAACAATCTTTCTATCATTCTCTTTCTCACATATTCATACACACCAAGTCTCCTACCAAAAACCAACCTGCATACACATTAGTGCAAACGGGAGGTGTCGGGGAATGGTTATTAAAAAAAAAAAAACATTTCTAAGCTCTGCATGTAATTCCTGCAGGCACATTCAATGTCATTGGCCAACATGCATTTTGGTGTCTCACACAGCCATATAACCCAGGATTATCAAGGCAGAAAATCCCACAATATCTGCTTTGAACTAAGTTACGTTGAGTCCATACTACCTTATATTACAGTTCAAAGCAGAAAACGTGGGATTTTATTCAGCTGTGTGGAATGGGGCCCCAAATGTTAGTTGTTTCTGTGTGCATTTGACCCGTTGCTTCAAAAAATGGTAGCAATTTTCCCTATCAGCTCTAGGTTTTGAGATACAGAGCATATGTCATATATCATAGTTCATCTGCTCACCCAAAGGAAACCAGCATAGCCATATCTAAGAAACTAGAGCTGATGTGGTCTAACCAATGCTCATTGACATATGCTATTTATTACCTACCTGCAGAACCAGCAGAATCCCCACATGGAAGTCATAGATAAAACAGCCCAGAGTTTGCATCTCACCTGAGTCCCGTGAGGATTTCCTGCGATGTGTCGCTGAGCCAGACACTGCCTCTGTGTCAGAGTCGGAGGTTTCAAATATGTCATACGAGGGCCTCTGCTTGACACAGCGTCGGGCTGACTTACGCTGCAGCAAGGAGTCTTGCTCGGCCGTCTCCGTGGCCCCCAGTGTGACCTCCAAGGGGGCTGGGAAGGCCTCTTGAGAATCCTCCGAATCCCAGGGAACGATGGCCTTCACTACTGTACGGCCTGAAGACAAAGGCAGGGGTGAGCAGGGGGTCTCACAGGCTGCCTTCAACTGGCTGTGCGTACTAGCCGGAAGGGAGCAGTTTCTTGCCCCCATCACATACATCACAAAGCTGATAGCCCATTTTGATGTATGCACAGAAGATATGTGTAGAGTAGGAAAGGTGCATTTTTATTGCAACTGCCTTAACCTTGGGGTTGCAGTCCAAAAAAGTTGTGTTTTTCCAAGGCTGGGATTTTAAAAGATGCAGTCTAAAGGGTATATTTCCCAAATTCTGCTGCAGACAGAGGGAGGACTACCAGGATTAAGAACAACAGCTAGTGCAGACTGTTGCTTCATCGATGCAGTGGAATATTTTCAGGGGTTTTGGACTAGGACTATAGAGATCCAGGTTCAAAGTACCTTGGGATAGATAGCATTTCTCCCTAAGGGTAATTGCAGGCATAAGAAGAGTAGCAGGTGAAGAGGAACTGGAAAGTTACCATTGGCTTTAGAGTTCCTGAATCAAAGGTAGAACATAAATGCAAAAATAAAATAAAATAACATACTGTGTAGCAACTCTGCTTAGGGCTGACTACCTAAGACAGATCTATGCCAAGCTCCTCATTAGCTCACTTACCTTTTCCACTTCTCTTCCACTCCTTGAAACAATGGGCCAGAGCCCCTCACCTCCAGCTCTAGCACTCATGCAATTTCCATTTACCCCCTGACCTAATAATAGTCTGTTGGCACCCACCCTGCCTCTATACAATAGGTTGCCAAATTGCTGCTTGTCTTGGGGAGGATGTTTTTATCTTCTTTAACTACTGCATTTCCAACACAAAAGAGATATGAAGCATTGAAAGAGGGGGAGGAATGTGAAGACTGAATGGCCAAGCTTCCCACACCCTGACTTTGGCCAATAGGAAAGATAAGTCCAGGTAGGTTATCAGAGCACAACTCTGCTATATTAAATTCCAGAATGGCAGAAGCAGCATTAGACTATGAACTTGATAGGAATTCCAAATTAAATTAGTTCATTACAGCAAAATCTCAGCCTTCTGGCACTTTAGAAGATTAATTGACTGATTGATCTCTGTACAAGAGCAGGACCCAATCAATGTTTCAAGAGATTTGTTAAGTCTTTAAAACACTATAATACTTATTTTTTTGAATAACTTTGCTTTTTAAAAGTAATCAGAACACCTTTCCTTTAATCATTTCAGTGTTTTCTTTGTGCTGGAAATATGTCTTGTGAAAAACATAAACTTTAACTATATCCTCCATAGTAAAAGTGAAAAAACCAGTTATTGGGTAAGCAGGAAAATACTCCAAAGTTCATGGGCAAAGAGGGTTGCAAGCAGAACATGGAAGAGTTAATTGTTTGGATTACAACATCCAGAATCCTTCAATCAACATGGCCATACCTGGGAATTCTGGACAATGTACCCCAAAAATAGCATCTCCAAGTCTTGCTACAGAATAGGACCCAGAGATTTAATTGTAACTTTTTTGTTTCCCTCCTTTCCAATCTGTTTCAGATCAAGGACAGAGAAGCCAGGAGCCTTGGCTCATGGCACAGCTAGGAGAACCATCCCTGCCCAGAGCAGAGACAGCTTTAGGTGCCCACAGACCCCCCCCCACACACACACACACTCAGACTGTTTCCCCAGGTTGTCTGCTCACATAGTCAGTGTCTCTTCAGTCTGGAGGCAAATAATGCCATTCTCTCCCACACAAAGACCCCAGGCAGGCTCTGCTCAGATGGCGAGGACTTCCCTTGAAAGAGCCAACTCCACCCCTTCCTGATTTATGCCCACTTCCTTTCCACACACCCCTCCCAAGGCAGAAGAGAGATCCTATCCCACCTCCACACATGGCCAGGGAGCTACCTGATACCTTATTACATTAGCCAGCAGAGGACAGTCTTCTCTTTTTATGCACTGTTACAAAAGCAAGGCCCACAGTTGTTTGTTAGCACCACTGCCGATTTTTCCAGTGTTTTCAAGTAATTCTTTTAATGCTGTTGGAATTGTTGGGCATTTTTAACAAACTACAACACCCAGGATCCTCTAGTCAGGACTGGTCCTGCTAGCTGGGGATGCCTCAAGCTATAGTTCCAAGAAGTAAACACTGAGAGCTCTGGGTAGATTTACAATTGATACAGGAAAATCAAGGTGCATGAGGCTTTGCACATTGTAAAAGGATTGGGTCCCTGCCTTAAACAGCTCACAATCTAAAATTCAACATACACAAACAGAAAAGAAACGGAACAGAGATGAAGATAAATGAAAATAATGTGACAACAGCATGTATGTTTGATTGTGGAATTACTTAAAGCAAGGATGAACAGAAAATAGGTTAAAATCTACTGATAAGTCAGGGAGAGTTTTAATTGCTTACATATAACAACTAAAAGTCTTTATTCTTACCCACACAAACTCCTGGGGGGGGGGGGAGAAGGGGGTGGAAGTAAGGAATTGATGTTGAAAGTATTTGTGAACCTGTTTGGACCTCATCACACTAGAGAATGAATCCACTTTAAATCCAGTTGGTCTTCAGTCCTGCTGGCACAAGGGTTTAACCCGGTGGTTCTTAACCTCTGGGTCCCCAGGTGTTTTGGCCTACAACTCCCAGAACTCCTAGTTTATCAGCTGTTAGGAATTCTGAGAGTTGAAGGCCAAAACATCTGGGAACCCACAGGTTGAGAACCACTGGTTTAACCCATTGTGCCACTGGACAAAACAGTCTAATTAGATTCTTGTCTCCAACTGGCATGGTCTGGTCAGGGTTCAGGAATGGTAGGAGCTGTAGTCCCAAAGGGGAAGGCTGAAATCAGGTGCAAAAATCATTCACACCTACTTTCTTCACCATATATGCAGAAAAAGAGGAATTCGAACATGTAAAAGACCCATATATAGAGATAGCCATTTCTGAGCTTTGAATTGGGAAGTCATTGAGTCAAATCTTACCTTTCCTTAGGGAAGCCAGTTGCTCAATGAATCAGTACCCAAACCCTTCCCATATGGGGATGGTAGCATTATCCTACCTCACAAGGTTGTTGTTAGATGTTGGCATAAGAAAGTGTATGTGAAGTACTTAAAATATTTGAAAGCAGTATACAAACACTAGGTGATGACCACAATATTTTAATAGTCTGAGAATTAAAAGTGCTACAAAACAGGATCCTGCACAATCTGCTCTCAAAAAGGGAAGGGAAGGGAAGGGGGTTAGAAGGAACACGTGACTAAACACAGCAGTAGACAAATTGATTTCGGAGATATGATCACAGATTGTTCTCCTCAACAGCATTGATGGCAGTTCAGGTTCCATGGCCCCTGTAGTAGCACAGCCCCAGGAGACACCAAGTTTTTTTTAAATCCCTGAATTGAGAAAACAATCCATTGGGAATGTGGCATCATCTTTGCAGTGCAAGGCCCTCTGATGTCTGAACAAATAAGCTTAGAGAAAGATCCAGCCAAAAAAGGTTTGAAAATATCTGGGAGGGAAGGCAATATGCTAATTTTTAAAATGCCCTACTGTTATAGCACCCCACATTTCACCCTTACACCCAATTAAGTTCCCACATTTGCAGCAGTTCAGAAAGGCCCAAGGAAACCAATGTTCAAAGAAGGACAAATAAGGGATAAATTGGGCTCCAAAATCCAAGGCAAGACCAGAAGTTATGTGATGTAGCTGCCTTGCTGAAGCAAAGCAGGGCTGGCTCTGGTCAATGCCTCAGATAGGCAGCAACATGGGAAATTTCAAGGAAGAACTTCAAAAAGTTCACTCCCCAAGAGAAAAGCTGGGCTGAATGCCCATTTGAAAGATAGCCATGCATGAAGTAATGAGATTTGGAGAGAACCATCATTTGGGGAACAGCTACTCCCCTTCAATGCTCTCCAGCTAGATATGATTACAAGATCCATGATTCCCAGCTGCCAAATGGCTGGTGATTTTTTTTAATCTAATGTACCTGGAGGCCTCCCAGGTTGGAGTACACTCATCCATAGGAGAAAGAGGTACAGTTTAATTTCAGTGTGGTGTTGGCAACAATACACACAAAAAGTGAATTGAAACAATTGGTAGAATGTCAAGACTAAAGGATCTATTGCCAAAACATGGGTGATAGCTCAGTGGCACGGTTTAGAGCAGGATGTCCCCAATTTTAATCTCCAACAACTCCAATTAAACAAATGAGAGCAGTAGATCCTGGAGAGCCCTGATATCTTAAAAGCAAACGAAGATGGACTGTCTGACTTAGAGCTTGGAAAAAGGAGCTTTTGAAATGGCAACTGTGGCTGAGAGATTCTGGGAGTTATAATCCAAAAGGCAGTGATTCCAAGTGCTTAACTGATTCTTAATCAGTTAAGAATTCAGTTATAAATTGGTAGGAAAAAAATACATCAGAAAAGTGTTGAATTTACTTAGATGTACAGGCAGTCCCCAAATTACGAACAAGATAGGTTCTGTAGATGAAGTTTAATTTGTTTTGTAAGTTGGGACTGGTAAAATTTTGAAATAAAACTTGAGCCAGTTGGCTGAGGAGAAAGGAAGACAGCTTGCTGATAGGCTCCCTTGCATTCCTCCTCAGCCCAAGGTCTGGTGATAGGCAAGGGAGGCTGGTGACAAGCTCCTTCGCCCCTTGCCTCAAGGTTAGCTGAGGAGATATGCAAGAGAGCCTGTCAGCAAGCTCCCTCCCTTCCTTCACACTGGGGCAAGAGAGGCTATCTGGAAGCCAAGGCTTCCCCAACTAGCAGCTGGAGACATGGGGGTGAAGGAGCCTGTCAGCCTCCTTCACCTTTGCTGGAGAGAAATAGCTAGCTCCACCACTCCCCAGCTAGCTGCCTCCACCCCGTTTATATCTACAAGTTGTTCATAAGTCAGATGTTCATAAATCACGGACTGCCTGTATTTAAAATCCACTAATGACTGTATATTATTATTAGGGAAGAGGCAGCAAGCTTGTTTTATGCTGCCCTGGAGACTAGGACACAGAACAATGGCTTCAAACTACAGGAAATAAGATTCCTAACTGTGAGACACCTCACCTCACTTTCAACAGTGGAACTTTCTGCACCGGAGTATGATGGAGGCTCCTTTTTTGGAGGCTTTTAAACAGAGGCTGGATGGCCATCTATCAGGGGTGCTTTGAATACGATTTTCCTGCTTCTTGGCAGGGGATTGGACTGGATGGTCCATGAAGTCTATTCCAATACTATGATTCTGGGCAACTTTCTATTCATTTAAAATCAAGGAGCTAAGACTTTCGCATCACTCCTGCTTTTTGTTATGTGTTCTCAAGTTTTGAAATCAAACAAATGTTTAGGCTATGAAAAATAATTTCCATAAAGCAGACATGAGTAAACTGTGGTCCTATAGATGTTGTAGAATTACAGCTATCAGCATTTTTCATTGGCTCTGCTGGTTAGAACTAATGGGCATTATAATTGAAAATCCAAAGAGAACAAGTGAATGAATGCTAAGATTATTATCATAGATGGATCAAAGCCTCGGAAGCCATTTTGGGAGAGGACAATTTCTACTACAGTATGTCTTCTTTCTGGACTAAAATCCCTAGCCAGCACAGCTAGAGGAATTATGAATTCCGCTATCCTTTGAGAGACTCAGATGGCTGCATTTGCACAAAAAGGAAGGGTATCTGTGAAAGAAGCTTACATATATCATGAAGCAAGTACACATAGCCTTATGGCATGTCTGAAGAAAATATTACAGGGTTCCTGAAGGATTCTTCAAAATATCCTGGAAGTTGGAACAAGGCCACTGGCTGTGCTCTAAACAGCACATATCATGTGTCAGATTGAAATCAAGGACAGCTGCTGTTTTATGGGCTGAAGATATTGTGTCATCCAATTGACACAAGATGCCTGTGTTCTGCAAGATTGCAGTCAAGACAGAAAAATACAGTGTTTAGCTGCTAACAGAAATATCATACACTGATTCCTGTGGTTAATGTATCTTTTATGTAGTAACATATTTAGAAACTCATCTGTCAGCAACATGAACCATGCAGATGAGTGGATAGATTTTTACATTCCCACTGCCAATTTTGTCACTTAGTCTTCCATGCTTGGGTTCCCCCCTCCTGATATAAAGACAAAAATATGGCTACTAGTACTTTGGTAAAATATTTCTAAGCTGTAGTAACCTATATTTCTGGCTCTCGGCATTATTCACAGCAGGGAGAAGCTATAGATCCGCTTGGTGACTTGCTGGAGATCATCATGGGTTGCTAACTGCCCATTGTTTACCAGCTGCTTTTGAGAATCCCTGATCTGTATAACTCTGGTTATCACATTTATGCATGCCTGTGATGGGGGGGGGGGGGGGGGGGGGGGGGGGGGAGAGAGAGATAAATGGCTTCATCTTTTCACCCATTATTTTTGCATCTTTTCTTTTCAGATGATCTTATGGAGCATCTGAATAAACGAACAAAGCAGATCCCACAAGGTTTCCCTCCCATTCTTTTTAGCAGGGATGGAGAATCTTTGGCTACCTGGATATTTTGAATTCCAACAGTTATTTACCATTGGCCATGCTAGGTGAGGAAAACATCTACAAAGCAAAAGGTTCCCCCTCTCTACTCGGCAATTTAGAAATGTTATTTGCAATCGCTTCAGGAAAACATACAAAACAGCAATATTTCCCCTAACACTCGCAAAAGGATTCAGAGGATCCAAACTTGTTTCAGTACATATGCCACATCTTCTCATGGGCAGTGTTCCACCCATTATCTGGCAAGTGATTTAGATACCAAATTCCAACTTCTTCACAAAATAAGTGCCATATAACAACATGTAACCATTTAATACATAAATTATCACAATGTGCAAAAGATAATCCACCAAAATACAATGTTAAGAGAAATCTGTAGTTGTATCAATGGCATTTGTGCCGCACTTTCCTACAAAATGTTAATGCCCAAAGTGGCTTACAAGAAGATAAAAACAAACAAAAACAACAATCAGTAAGACAATGATAATTTATCAAATACACAATTTCAAGAATCGACAATTTAGACAGTGAACACAGCGGCCTCAGACTTATACAAAGTTTTAAATGGCAAAGTACTAAACATTAAAATTCTATCTAAACAAAGTTTTCATAGCCCACCAAAATGCAGGCAATTTGGGACATTAAGTGCCAAATGTATAATCCACTGCAGTATAATGTAGAAATCAGTGCATGCGATCCAAGTTGGATATTCAGTACAGGATTCTGCCCTTCCCACCCTACATGTGTAGGACTGGAGTAAACACAATTACAGGAAAGTATAAATATATCCAACAATGTCCCTACATCAGAAAGTCACATCAAATCTAATGGAAAACTAACACAAAAAAGAGACCACACATAATCACACATCCAACTCACAGTAGAACATGATTAGTCCACCCATTTATAGCCACTCAACTGTTACCTTTCTTAGACAGCCGCTCCACCCGACGTGCTTCAATCTTGTCGCACTTCCGATACCTGCCAGTAAGCCAGATATATAGTATTAGAGGAGAGAAATTATCCCCAAACCAGCTTGGAAAACATATTTGGAGGTGGCACCACGACTCCCAGAATCCCACAATCAATAGCCCTCTTCATACTGGCTAGCGGGGTTTGGGAGTTGGGAGTGCAATGATTTTCCAAGATAAGTCCAAAAAGAGATTCTTCAGGCCTGATGACTCAGGAAGCAAGAAAAGCAGAAAGGTGAAAAATTATGGGTTTGGCCATACAGACAAGAGGCCTATTGATCTTGGCAGTGCCAACCAAGGTTAGCAAGATGATGTAAGAGCCAGCACAATGTTGCAGTTAAGACGGGGTAGACCACCTGATGCTCTCCAGATGATGTTGGGCTATAATTCTTATCAACCTGAGACAGCAGGTCATGGATTATGAGTGCCTTAGTCCAATATCTGTAGAGCAGTGGGTTGCTTACCCTTGGGCTGGAGGGTTGCAGTATAAAGATGGCAGGGGGACACATATTGTGCCACAAAATACTTGAAAGAAGGGTGGGATATCTGTTATCATTGTTGTCATCGTATCATTAGAGTTTTTATTTCTGCACACTTATTAAAGACATAAGGAGAGCCATCTGTCTTGGCATGCATATACATTTCTGATGAAGAACTTCCGCTAGGTATGTGGAACAGCTCCCAGAGGTATAATCCACTACTTTTCCCACCTTAGTATTCAAACAATTCATTTTATGTACCCCAGGGCTGCTCACAAATACTGTAACCTAAAGAGATAAAAAAACCCCAAGCATCCAGGACTAACTGTGGCATATACTACCATGAAAATACACTACTGCCCTGCTTGTGGACTTCCCAGAGGCATTTAGTTGGCCACTGTGTGAACTGAATGTTAAACCAGATAGGCCTTTGGTCTAATCCAGCGTTTCTCAAGTAGGGAGTCTGGACTCCTGGGGGGGGGGGGGGGGTCGTGGTCGTGAGTGGGTTTCAGAGGGATCGCCAAACACCCTCAGACAACATAGATTTCTGTGGTAACCCCTTTGACAGAGAAGCCCTGTTCTTCTCTTTCTTTTAGGAAACAGATGGTGAATCCTCCCACCAAAAGCTCTCCTCCACTGTTATTAGCTGGTCTCTCAACAAAGGGGAGGGCTATTTCTGAGACTCAAAGTGGGGAGGGGAGAGCATGCATGCCTGGCACATGGCTGCATGGTGCACATGTGCAGGCAAGGGAAAGCATGTGAGGCTGGAAGGAGGCTCGCGCAAGCAAGTCCCTTTAAGCCACATGGGGTTCTGTGTGGCAAATTTGGACCGATTCTATCCTTGGTGGGGTTCAGAATGCTCTTTGACTGTAGGTGAACTATAAATCCCAGTAACAAAAACTACCAAATGTCAAGTCTATTTTCTCCACACTCCACCAATGTTCACATTTGGACATATTGAGTATTCATGGCAAGTTTGGTCCAGATCCATCATTGTGTGAGTCCACAGTGCTCTCTGGATGTAGGTGAACTGCAACTCCAAAATTCAAGGTCAATGCCCACCAAACCCTTCCAGTATTTTCTGTTTGACAGGGGAGTTATGTGTGTCAAGTTTGTTTCAATTCCATCATTGGTGGAGTTCAGAATGCTCCTTGATTGTAGGTGAACTATAAATCCCCACAACTACAACTCCCAAATGACAAAATCAATCCAAATTTGGCCTAGTGAATGATAATACAACCCACATATCAGATATTTACATTAAGAGTCACAACAGTAGCAAAATTACAGTTACGAAGTAGCAATGAAAATAATTTTATGGTTGGGGGTCACCACAGCATGAGGAACTGTATTAAAGGGTTGTGGCATTAGGAAAGTTGAGAAACACTGGTCAATCCAATATGGTTATGCTTATGTTCTTAAAAGCAGATTAGTATTTAACAGCTACACAAGAAAAGGAATCAGGCGGGAAGTTTAAAAAAAACCCAGCCTCTTATATCTAGTTACTACACACCAGGGCACTTGGCTGTCCTAGAAAAATTGTTACTTTTAGATGCTGTTAAGACTACAACATGTAGGATATTTCAATAATAACTATGTCAGTTGCAACTGGTGGGAAATTGCTTATATCTGTAAATACATGACCAGGATAAGGGAGATAATAAAGCTGGCAGAGTGAGGTCAAACTGGCAAAGGATGGCAAGCCTGGTGCTCTCCAGAAATTTTGAATTATTAATAATTGCTGATCACTATTCATATTAGCTAGTTCTGATGGAGTTGTAGGCTAAAATATATTGAGGGACCTACATTGCCTACCTCTTCACTAAAACTAACCGGAAATAGTCTGGTTCTTCACCAATGGCAATAGTCCCTGCTAAGAGTCTACTGGAAAACATAGCAAAAATAGGTTGATGATCAAGAAAAGAAGTCTTCATACCAAAACATTTGAGTCCCTTTTTCTAGTCTCACAATATTTGAGTACCATCCAGGATATTTTAGACCCAGGAGAGACATCTTCCTAGACCATAACTGACAAGTGTGTAATTGTGTGTGTGTGTGTCAGGAGCAACTTGAGAAACTGCAAGTCGCTTCTGGAGTGAGAGAATTGGCTGTCTACAAGGACGTTGCCCAGGGGACACTCGGGTGTTTGATGTTTTACCATCCTTGTGAGAGACTTCTCTCATGTCTCTGCATGGGAAGCTGGAGATGACAGACGGGAGCTCAACTTGCTCTCCCCAGATTCAAACTGCTGACCTGTTGGTCAGCAGTCCTGCCGGCACAAAGGTTTAACCCATTGCGTTTCCAGTGGTGCAGTGGGTTAAACCCTTCTGCAGGCAGGACTGCTGACCAAAAGGTTGGCAGTTTGAATCTGGCGAGCAGGGTGAGCTCCTGTCTGTCATCTCCAGCTTCCTATGCAGAGACATGAGAGAAACCTCTACAGGATGGGATTTATTTATTTATTTATTTGCTCTATTTTTATCCCGCCTTTCTCTACCCCAAAGGGGACTCAAAGCGGCTTTACATATGGCAACTATTCAATGCCTTTGGACAACACACAGTTAGAATACACTTAAGTTAAAAATTAAAATTAAATACACATTAAAACATTGCATTTACTATTAAAATGACATTCGGGTATCCCCTGGGCAATGTCCTTGCAGACGGCCAATTCTCTCACACCAGAAGCGACTTGCAATTTCTCAGTCACTCCTGACACGAAAAAATAGTGTGTAATGTATTGGGATATATAGTAGCAAAAAAGTTTTTGAGAAGTATGTAGGGCACTGTGACCTTCAACTGCTGCACACTCCTGACTTAAATAGAAGAGGTACATTTTTCATGCCTATCTTCCCACTCTTAAAAGCTATACATATACTTTTAAAGAAGTAACTACCAATTGTGCATCCTAAAAGTGAATCAAATGCTTGTACTGTACAACTGCAGATCCCATAGAGCCTCAGTCCATAACATCTGTACTTCACTCTCCTGTTCATTGAACAAAGACTCCTGACTCTCTCAGTTCTAGCTCCTAATGACCTTAAAAAAGTAAATCTGCTAGGCGAAATGATAAGGTTGGAACTGGGGACCCCTCAGATACACTCACACACAGCACTGCTTCTTGGTGTTAGGTCCGCCAAACTTTGGCTTGTCTAGGCAGTTGTTGCACTCCCCACAATCCTGCAGCTTCAGGCAGCCCTTGCACCTCCCACAGCGTGTCATTCGGTTCTTCTTGCCATGGTGGTGGGACACGTGGCGACGCACTGGGGGTGGCACAGTTTTGATGCTGGTCTCTACCTTCACTTGCTTCTGGAGGCCACTCTCGCTCTCAGAGGCTGAGGAGGTTTCTGTGGTAGAGAAAGGCCAGAAAGATAACCCAAAGCTGCAGTCTCTAGTCCTATATGTATCTTTTGAATTTCTTTGGTATATATTTTGCATGCTAAACTATAGGTTCCATGCTGGAGAAAGGTAGGATATAAATAAAAAGAAAAGAACAGCTGTATCCAGGTCATTTATCTAAGATCCCTCCTTTCTCCCAGGATGAGACTCTAGCCCACATGAAATGAATTAGATCACAAATGGGGCCAATTCACCAATTAGGTCAAGAAGACAAGACTATCTGAATATGCATTTAATTTTGGAGCTGTTATGATGGTAGTTTTTATGTGCAAGAGGCCACATATTTTTGATTGATTAACTACATATGCAGCTACTGTTGGGAGTAGGAAAAAGCTACTTTGGTTGGAGCAAGCAGTCGCACAGACTCCTCTTAAATTCATTCCACCAAGAAAAGCTGCTTTGGAACTCTTTTTAGAGACATAAAGTGGGATATAAATAAATATAATAGGAATAATGATGATGATGTTAGAAGATCAACACAGTTGTGAGAATGTGAGTTCAAGATGCACTAGATTCTTTTATTATGTATTCAGTTAACATATACTTAGTTGAAGGTTCATTTCCAATCAAGGGCCAACCACTTTCCATAGGATTTTTGGGTTAAGATGCAAAATTATGAATTAAAATGCACAAGATATAAATTAGTGTGTTGATTTGGGGGGGGGGGAGGATACCAAAGGAGAGAACCTCCTTAGAGATAAAAAAATTGGAAATTTTGAACCCACGACCAACACCGGGAATTGCAATAATGTGAAGCAACAGGAAGTCTACAAAATTTTAGAAACATAGATTTCAGAAGTAACATATGTGAAGTAACTATATGAATATAAGCAACTATAACAACAATTCTAGAGTCAATCCATTTCCCCCATCCTCCTTGCAATAACTTCATTCTTCTAGAGATCAACTCTAATCTTTTATGCCATACTGTGTTGGAAACAGCAACCTTCCAAGCCTTCACTATTTGTTTGTTAATGTATATATTTGCTAACCTGTATTGTATATATATATTGATCTGTCAGTTTGACTGACCTCTTCGGTGTGGGAGGGGCTACAGACATGTGATTGTACTGAGCATGTTCAGGCTCAAGACTCCGTTTTTTATCAGTACGCGTTTGGATTTCATTGTTAGCAGTTCACTTTAGACCTCAGTGAAGCTGGATGCAGTATGTTTTTGGATTTCAATGGAAGCAGATGTCTTTTGGATTTATGCAGGAACAGTTTACTATATGTTTGCTTTGAAAAGCAGTGAGTACACGTAGACAGTTTGGACTTTCATAAGATGTATACTTAAAAACTTTGGACTATAGACTATTGATTGAGAATGATGTCCTGTGTTCTCAACACAGAGAAATTACATCCTATCTATAAATGTACATGTATGCGGAATTATTACAATATATATATACATAAACAAGATATGTTTCCTTTTTTTAAAAAATACTTTGTTTTTTGTCTCTGGGTGTGTATTTTAAACTAAGAGGTGTCAAGGGAGAGTATATGTTTTGGGCAACTGCAACTGAAACTTCAACTTCTACTTCAAATAAACATTTTCAAAACTCTGCTAGCCAAGTATAAGTTTTTTTGTGCAGTGGCATATCTTTGTCTCTAACAGTTCAAAGGCATGATTTATTAGTTTAACCGCTGAGTTATCTGTGTGCCATTACATGATTGCTTGTGAACATCACTTTTTCAAAGGGTTGACTTCTGACAAGGTCATGCCTTTCCTTGACTAGTGATTTTCAAAAGGTGGTCTCCAGATGTTCATGGAGATTCACATTTGCCAAAAGGATATCACATCATCTGTCTTTTCAAAAAGATTACGAATGCCTTTTTGCTGGGAGTGTCACATATTAATGCACATGGAGTAATTGGTGAGCTTCTGGCACAAAGGTTCTTAAGCCCACCCATGAAAATAGAGGGCGGGTTGGAAGAGGAAGCAGGTCATGCAGCCAGCTCACTGCAGAACCACTCACCCTCCACTGTGGGTGATACAGTAATCTCCTCCCTCTCCCGCAGTGGCAGGGCACTGAGGCGTGGCACATCCTCTGGCACCATGGCCCGAGACTGTCCTAGGGCCACCGAGGCATGGCGACACACATGCTTAATCCGAGGACCTTGCACTGGGGATTCCTGGCCCTGAAAGGGAAAAGCAATAAGAGCTGTCATTAGTAGGACAAACAAAGTCTCAGAAAACTGGCTTTTAGAAACCAAACCTCTCTCTCCATTATTACCATTTAGCACAGGGATGGAGAATGTGTGGATTTCCAGATGCTTTTGGAGTGCTCACTATTGGGTATGCTGTATAGGTGTGATTGGAACTGTAATCCAACAGCCTCTGGAAAGCCAAGCATTCTCTACTTCCTACTCCTGACCTTGGGATTGGGACTGCCTTGGAAAGTGGTAGACTCTCTTTCCTGGGAGGACATGAAACTGTCAGATGGCCATCTATCAGAAAGGGATTTAGCTATAGATTTCTAAATAGCAGTGGGCTGGATTAGCTGATCCTTCCAACCCTACGATTAGGAATCACAGAATCCCCCAAGCAGAATTCAGGAATTCATGGAGCTGTAGTCCAAGAAAACTACGGCCTCAACCTTGTCCCTGAACTAGCATTTGCCTGGCAGACAGAGAAGAAGAAAACTGTGATTGATGTGAGGGCTTTCTTGCAGCATAGGTAGACCAAGCTAATATAGTGTTGTATTCCCATGCCTCAGCATTTAGCTCATTCATATAAATGCCACCTTTGAATGCAGGAACAAATATATCTGTGAGTTACCTGTTTTCTGACATCTTTCCTGTCTTCTTCTTCTGCTTTGAGTTCAGAAGTCACAGGTTTCTCAGCTGGGACCTTTGGTACCTCAAAGGCACCAGCCCTGACACTTTGGCATCCCTATAGGGAAGAAACATATGTCATACTGGCATTTCTGATCCAAGAGACTTATTTATTTACTTCATTTATATACCGCTTTTCTCACACACACCCCCGGGGGCGGCGGCGGCTCAAAGCACTTTCCAACATATTCACAGCAAAATTCAATACCTAACATACATACGAAAAACCTAACATGAAACAACAATAGCATATGACTATCAATTTAATTTATAAAAACGTAATAACATTTAAACATTAAAACGAGAGCTTAAAAACATAATATAAACATTAAAATCACATAATCTGAAAATCATATTCCAAGGATATTCCAATATCAAACATCAATTGCACTAATCCCTGTTCATTCCTTGTATTGCTTACTGACCAAAGGCTTGGTCCCACAGCCATGTTTTTTCTTTTTTTCTGAAGGCCAAGAGGGAGGGTGCTGATCTAATTGCATTGGGGAGTGAGTTCCATAGTCGAGGAGCCATCACTGAGAAGGCCCTGTCTCTCATCCCCAGTAATCGCACCTGAGAAGGAGGTGGGACTGAAAGCAGGGCCTCCCCGGATGATCTTAACCTCCAATATCATTCATAGAGGGAGTTACATTCGGACAGGTAAGCTGGGCTGTAACCATTTAGAGCAAGCAACCTCAAACTGCGGCCCTCCAGCTGTTTGGGCCTTCAACTCCCAGAATTCCTGACAATTTAACAAGCTCATTAGGGCTTCTGGGAGTTGGAGGCCCAAACAGCTGGAGGGCCGCAGTTTGTGTGCTCCCTGTACCCTGCTCCAGTGAGCAATCTGGCTGCTGCTCATTAGACCAATTGGAGCTTCCAAACAGTCTTCAAAGGCAACCTTACATAGAATGCATTGCAGCAATCTATTCGGGGTGTAACTAGAGCGTGGACTACCCTGGCCAAGGTACGGGCTTATCTATGAAGGGAAATTCTAGCACATAAATATGGAAGACTTTTACAAGTATTATTAAGTGGTGAACACGAGGGAGAGTGTCAGAAAGCTCCCTCCCTTCCTCCATAGCCATCGCTGCAGCAAGAGGGGCTGGCTGGAAACCAAGGCTCCCCAGCCGTGGCTGAAGACGAGGGGCAAAGGAGCCTGGTGCTGTCTTCCTTCGGCAGCCTCCTTCACCTTGGCTGGGGAGGAACAGTTAGCTCCACCACTCCACAGCTTCATATCTACGAGTTGTTCATAAGTTGGATGTTCGTAAGTTGGGGTCTGCTTGTACAGGGACTGGACTGTAGTATCTCATGGCTCTTTTCCTCTTTTAAAAAAATCATGCAATGAGTTCGGAAGACGCATAAGGAAGGCTGGCATTTTTAAGTTTTCATGGAACAACCTGTGTCATCATACACAGGGCCACAACAATATTGTAAAGCACAGAATTTCATAATTCAAGTAGTTCCATTCCTGGTATAAAGAATCTAGGCTGGCAGGATAAAAGGGGGTGGGGTAGTATGAGCCACAGTTCACTTCTGATTTAGAATCTACTAAATTAGCCCCAGCCCAGCATTCTGGCTTTGGTGGGTGTGGAGAAAAACTTGAAAGCCATTAATGGCAGACATCAGCAAATACGAAGTAATCTGATTGGCTTCTAGCAATCAGGATGGGTTATTTCCACTCTCAGCATAGCTATTAAATTCCCTCTGAAGAAATTCTGCCAAGAAGGTCCCCTTCAGATTGCCATAGATCAGAAATGTCTGAAGACATTCAACAATTCCATGAGCAGGCTGAACTGCTGACCTGAAGGTCAGCGGTTTGAATCCGTGAGATGGGGTGAGCACCTGTCTGACAGCTCCAGCTTCCCATGCGGGGACACAGGCGTCCTCTGGGCATCGTCCCTGCAGACGGCCAATTCTCTCACACCAGAAGCAACTTGCAGTTTCTCAAGTGGCTTCTGACACGATAAAAAAGCAAGAATAACTGAAAGATTATTTGGGATGATCCAAATATTATAACCTCTTCATCTATGACATGAAGACATTCAACAACTCTAATGACCTGCAGCAAGATGGAGCCATGGTGGCACAATGGGTTAAACCCTTATGCCAGCAAGATTGCTGGCCGACAGGTCAGCGGTTTGAATCCAGGGAGAGCAGGTTGAGCTCCCTCTGTCAGCTCCAGCACCTCATGCAGGCACATGAGAGAAGCCTCCCACAGGGATGGTAAAACATCAAAACATCTGAGTGTCTCCTGGGCAACATCCTTGTAGGCAGCAAATTCTCTTACACCAGAAGTGACTTGCAGTGTCTCAAGTCGCTCCTGACACAAAAAAATCTATGAAATGGCCGTCTGGGGCAAACTCTTACCCATACTACCTCCTCTTGGTGAACAGTGCATCACAGTGCTACCAAGAGCATTGGTATGAAAGAAACACACCCTAGCTCAAAGAAAGTGAAACATTCATTACCTCCAAAGACTACCTACATTTTCCTCCACATGTCAGTTCTGCAATTCTATCCAAAATCTCACCATTACAATTCTCAGGGCTTCTTACCGGTATGAATTTGAACTGCTTCTGCTGGTCAATCTTGTAGAGCTGCACCTTGGCACGAGTGAGAAGACTGTAAACTTTATCCATGCTTGACAGCTGTGTTATAATGGGCTTGGGCGCATCAGATGATTTCTGCTCCTTAGGGATCAGGCTGGCTGGTTCCACCTCATTCTCTGACTTATCTGAAGTCCGCTCTTGCTCTACCTGAATGGATGGAGGCAAAACCCTTCGGATGGCCACCTTGTGGACAACGCCAGGAGAATTAACATCCTCCATAGTGATAAGCTCTTTGCCTTGAGGCTTTAATGGACTAGAAACCTCAGTGAACAGGGGCAAGGCAAGATGGTTCACTCTGCCCAACAGTTTCTTGCCACTACGTGTCACCACAGGCTCATAAGGAAGTGTGGGAGAGTCATGTTGTTGTGCTGGGGGGTCCCTCCTGACTTCAGGAGAAGTAGGCACCGATTCAGAATCCTCAGGAGACACTGTCAATGATTCATAGATTTTGAGATGTGCCTCACTAGGAGTAAACTGTGGTGCCCGCAGCAGAGGGGTTCGCTTGGCCGGGGGAGAGGGTAATGGCGCTGGAGTACTGGGCAAAGGAGATGAATCTTCGCAAGGAAGTTGAAAGAGTGTCTTGCCCACATCCTTGGGGGATGAAGTGGGGCTCAGTGAGGTCCATCGGAATGTGGGCTCCCGAAGGATGGAACGACGCTTCTCAGGCAGGGCAGGAGCAGCAGGAGAAGTGATTTGGGGCACGCTTGGGGAAGGAGGGGAAGAAAGGACCCTACTGATTTCTTCATCAGGGGAGACAGGGTTGGGATGAGCGACCCTAAGGGAAACCCCTTGTGAAGGCAAAGGAGAACTCTCCTGCTTGTCTAGAGAAATCCCATCTGTCACAGGACTTTCTGTAGGCTTGGGTGTTTTCTGGGGGATCTCGTCCATAAAGCGACGTGGGGTCCGAATAAGGCGTGATGAACGGGCACTCACCACAGGCATTATGAATTGGCGAATATTCTTGAGAAAGTTGGTCTTGTGGGACAATGCCTCCTCCTGGCAAGCATTTCCAGATGGCTGCACAGCTCCCAACCCTTCCTCTTTAGGCTTTGCTGGCACCTGCTGAATAGCCATACGTTGGGCTCGCTGGGTTGGAGTGAGGGGCGGCCGGCCACGGCCCCGTTTCAAGCACTGTGCCCGGGTGGAATGGGCAATACTTGAAGACCCCTCCTCAGAAAGGCCTCCAGATTCATCATGCTCTGGAGAGGGCTCCTGTGTCTCTTCTTTCCAGGACACCTCATTGAGCAAAGCAGGAGTATCTGCTCCTTGCGCTGGAGTCTTCTGTTCTACCTCAAAGGGTGCTGGCTCCAAGGAAACCTCTGGTGGCTGTTCTGGTTCTTGGGTTATTACTTCTGGCTGTGGCTCTGGTTTTGGGACAACATGTTCAGGCTGTGGCTCTGGATCTGGAGCAAGAACTTCTTGAGGCTGGGACTCTGGTGTTAAAGACTCCTCTTTTTGTTCTGGTTCTGGGGCAGAGGCCTCTGACTCTGACAATGGGCTTTCAGATTCTGAAACAGATTGAGAGGGAAGGGGTGACATTTTCTTCCTGGGTACAACACTCCACTTCCTCTTGCGCCCCCTCCTATGGCCAGGTGTCTTTAGGCGGACATGGGTCACCACCAATTGGCCAGATTTATGCCGCCTAGCCTTTGAGAAGAACTTCAGGATGAGAGGTGGTTTCTTTAAATCTTCAGGGGGCTGAGAGGATGGGCTGTCTACTTGGCATGGTGAAGATGATTGAGGGCTTTTGCTGGGTTCTGGAATGGGAGATGGTGCTTTAGTGCTTTCACAAGGAGAGTCAGCTTCTGTAACAAGTCTTTTTCTGGAGGTGCCGGGTGGTCGGCCTCGTGGTCTAGATGATACAATGGAGTTGATGGTCTTCTCTACTTGTGATGGAAGGGTAGGAGAAATTGTGGATTTTATGGAATCGTCAGGCTCTGGGCTTTGTTTAGTCTGTTTAGGAAGCATCCTGCCAACTTTAGAGCCAGAAATTTGTGTCCGACCTATCCTTGCTGGAGATCCCTTGCTCTTCTGGAGCAGCTCTGCCAAGGCTTTTACCATTCGCTCCCGCTGGGATTCCACAGCCTTTTGTTTGACAAATCTTTTTGAAGGGGTGTCTTCGGGAGCTGCTCTCTTTTTTCTGCTACGCACTGGCAGAGCTGCACCTGCAGAAAGTGAAAAAGACCTTAGAATGGCAGAGGTGACTCTATCATAGAGTCAAAAGCTAATGTATCACCTAGCTGTAGTTTCTATAGAAGGCCAATGTATAAAGCTTCAGCACAACACACTTGGAAATACTATTCCATGCAGCTGAAGATTGCTCAATGGTTTAATATGTACACTCAAAATGTGTTTGTTAGACTTGTAGTACGAAATTTGCAGCATTAGCCATTGAAGATGTATCAATTAAAACCAGGTGGCCATACATGCTCTATATGTACTCAAACATTCAGAAATTATATTTATCTGCTACCTAAACAGTTTCATCTTAGCTTTAACAGTTTTATCTTAGTTTTATAAAAACTGTTTCTTTTAAAGACTTCTACCCATATGTTTTTTCTTATTTCTTTCCCATGCCTCTTTTATGTCAAATATTTTCAATCTTAAGCCTAAAAACACAGACAATTCTGTGTCTTTTGCAAAACTGTATTCATTTTTGAGAATATAATTTTAAAAATAATAAGAAAACTTTATTTCTAGACTGCCCTCTCTCCCCAGAAGTGTTGCAATGAAGATTAATGTGTAGACTCACACTGATGCGGAAGCTTTCTCCAAGGAGCAAACTCACACGTTTGTCTTGTTGCAGAGTTTATACAAAATATATATACAGAGTCCAATTCTTCTCCTCAAGCTACAAGCCTCTCAGAACTCCAACCTCCTTCCAATACCTTCGCAAAACCTCCAACTTTCCTTTTTTTAATTACATTTTTATTAATTTCTTCATACAGATGACAAAACAATACAACACGAACCTTAGCCATCTAAAAGATAATATCAAAAAACTGTTTACAATTTTTATGGCTAGGATACAGGTTCCAATTGTGCTTCCCTTTGCTGTATATCTCGATTATTTACCCCTTGAAACCCCCCCCCCCCTTACCACCCTCTTCTCACCTCCCTCCCACCCCCATCTGGGTTTACTTAAGTCAGTACATTGATTTAATTGTCTGGAAGACCTGATTTAAAGTTCTGTACCTATCTTTTCCTTCCGTTTTGTCGAGACCATTTCCTATACCAATTTTGTCTTGACTGAATATTCAAATATTTATTTTTCCCCTTCATAGATGGTCTTATCTCTCTGAATATTTAATTAAGGCCTTAAACTATGAAAACCTCCAACCTTCCAATACCTCCAAACTCCTTCACACTCCACCATAATCCACCAACAAGGAGTAACCCCTTTTTACTCCTTTATTATCCCAGGAGTTACCCCACCCTGGCTGCAACTACTCAATGCTTGCCAGGTGGCCCAGCTTCCACTGCCGGCTGCCCTGATCCTTGCACTACTTGTTACTTAAGAAATGATACTCTAACAAGAACTCAAAGCAGTTTACGCAAAAAAAGCCAAACATTCAATGCCTCAAATTAGGTACAGACACATCAAAATAATACAAAACAATGAAGAGTAACAACAGAAACTTTACAACAAAAAATTAAGTATCAAAATAAAATAAAAACAAGAACAATCCGTTAAGACATAAAAATTAAAACATAAATAAACATTACCATATCCACCCTAAAACAAATTATGAGATAGTACATGAAAATGGCTGACAACTGTGTTTCATTTAAGATATATCATAACAACCATCTAATACACGTAGATAAGCCAGAAGTCCTATTCCTCATCCTCTCCATATGCTAAAGTGTATAGGTGTGTTTTTAGAAATTTCTTAAAGGAGAGGAATGGAAGGGAATTATTATTTCTTTAGGGAGGGAGTTCCAGATCACAGGGGAGCGATCACAGAGAAGGCCCCTCTCTCATTCCCACCAACCGAGCTTGTGACTGGGGTGGCACTGAGAGGAGGGCCTCCTCTGTAGACCGCAGCATACATGATGGTCTTTACAGGGAAATGCAATTAGACAAATAGCCTGGACCCGAACTGTTTTCAGATCAAGAGTGCAGTAAACTCATTCACATTACTATAAAAAAGTGGCACCACGATGGCTATGGAATACTTTCCCATTAAGGAGTATTGTGCTTCCTTTTTGGCTGATTTAAACACAACATTTTTACAGGATTTAAATGCATTTAGCTTTACTGTTCTTTTCCGTTCAATCACATTTTGATTGCTCTGTTTAGATTGTAAGTGCTCTTTTTTCTAACATGTAGTTTAATATTGGTATGTTTCATTCTTTTAACTGTATTGTACTGTATATTATTAAGCTGGAAAGTAAATGCAGGTTCCCCGTGAACCAAAGGACAGAAAACAACAAAGTAATAATAATAATAAAGAATATGTATACTAAAGATGCTCAGGACCAGCCAAATCTCTTTTAACAAAAAGCATCAGTGTGATCTTTCAATGTGACTGTTTTCTTATTAGTGGCAAAAGCCAGTATGATATCTCAACATGCTATTGATGCAATGTGTAGTTGGGTTGTTAGGGTGTTATTGTATTTTACTTACCCTACGTTAAATCTTTTCTGTCCAAAAGGGTTTTTATGTGTTATGTTTCAATATATCCATTGCTGGGCCTACAGCTTTTATTGATACTTCATAGAATCAAGGGCCATCTAGTCCAACCCCCTGTCATGCAGAAAAAGCACATTCAATGTACCCCAACAGATAGCCATCCAGCCTCTGTTTAAAAGCCTCCAAAGAAGAAGCTTTCGCCATACTCCAAGTCAGTGAATTCTGCCGTTAAACAGCTCTTATGGCCAGGAAGTTCTTCCTAAAGTTCAGGTGGAATTTCCTGTCCTGTAATTTGAACCCATTACTTCAGATTTTCCATAAGAAACAACCAAGCAACACCTGCAATAACACTGTTACCTCTTTTAGATCGCAATGCAGCCCGTCGTGAGCTCTGAGTGACTTCATTCTCCAAACGAAAGCCCAGGAACTCTTCCTGTTGGACAAAAGGAAAGGAGACAATGTCACAACAAAAGAAGACACCACATTCATTTCAGGCAACACATTCTACTCAGAAGAAGATTTCAGATGTGGCCATGGTTAAAGTCCTTTTCTTCAACACTACTGGACCAAGGACAGGTATGGATTGTCGCTCACATAATCTTCAGAAATAGGAGAGAAATACATCAACTCAAGTCTGTTAATCAATGCACTAATAAAGAACCACATTGTTTAAGTCCAAATCCTAATGCTGGAGGAACTCAGTATGAAAAAATAATCCCTGTATCATTTTTCGTACCGAGATAAAACTGCAAACCATATCTATCTTCAGATATGGAGAGACTAGCCTCAGGTATGATTCTTTTTATTTAGTAGCAATCTTCATATCCTACTTTTCTCTCTCTTTTCTACTGCAAATTATCTCCCCATCCCCAACAGACACCTCTTTTTCTTTATCGTTGGCCTTTTTCGCTCTCTACTCATGATCAGCTCTTCCTTCTTTCATTCTCTAAACCCCACCCCAATTAGGCAGCAGGAACTTTCTCTCTTTTGATTTTTTTGAGAAAGCTTTTCCCCCAAAGCCCTTCCTTCTTTCATCTACTTTTATTGCCTAAAGTATTTTGTATAATGTAGCAGATTTCGAAATACGGAGAAAACATTTTAAATGAAACCACAAACATTTATTTTGGTAGAAGAAAATATTGGATTCACACCTAAAGTGATGAATGAACTTGTTTCATCTATGTTCAACAGAATATGTAAATCCAGGGCAGCATCCAACTCCTAAATTTGTTTTTGGTGAAAGCTAAAGCTAAAAAGACTGATTTGCATCAATAGGTGGGCATGAAGGGGAGTATTGCTCAGATAGTCCTACCCAACAGTCATTCAATGGCACAGAATCAAATTTCATTTTGAAAGCAGAGGTACATTGATTTCGATATGACCTTCATACTGTCACATCTTTTTTTCAAAGATTTTTTGTGGAATCCCTATATTATTTTTTTTTGTAGGACCCTAGGGTTCCATAGAACATAGTTTGGGAACCATTGCTCTGGAAAGCTAAAACTCTTTTGGGTTGCTGTGAGTTTTCCGGGTTGTATGGCTATGTTCCAGAAGCATTCTCTCCTGATGTTTCACCCACTTCTATGGCAGGCATCCTCTGAGGTTGGGGGGGGGGGGGTCTGTTGGAAACTAGGCAAGTAAGGTTTATATATTTATGGAATGTCCAGGGTGAGAGAAAGAACTCTTGGAAGAGGAAATGTGAAGAAAGAGAACACCATCATAAGACTCTTTTGTGCTAACTATACTTATAAACACATGCAGGCAATGGACCATAAAGCCTTGACATGTATATCTAGTGCATAGGCAACACCGGTGACATGGGAAAGTCTTCCCTCAGCTAACCCAGTTCCTAGTGCTTAATGGCCTTATTTGATAATATCACCTTTGACCTGGAGACACTAGTGGCTAGTGCCACTTACCCAAAGTATAGTATGTTCACCATAGGTGATTCCACTAACTGTGTTTTGCAATAATCACAGTTTCTGCACTAGTCAAAAGGGAAGATTAGTTCATTCTATGTGAACTAATGCAATCTAATACTGATGTTACCAAAACAGAATTGAACAATTTTAAAAGGTCCATGCATTGTATAAAAGAATTAAATTAGCTAACTAAGCTATAGTTTCTAGGTTCCAAAAACTTTGGAGTAAACCAAAATCTTAATCACATTAGGATAATATAAGCACCAGGGGGAGGACATTCTTACATTGGGAAACCTCATCAGACAAGGTCCTTTCCTATCTATCCACAAAGGAAGGTCTCTTTGAAAATCGAAATGATCAACGAGACTGGAATATAGCCATCCTGAATCCCTCTTTGGAGGTTGAGATAGGACGGGATATAAAAGCCTGAAATAATAAATAAATAAATAAATAAATAAATAAATAAAGTGAAAGAGGACTCCTAGGAACTATGGTATCAATCCATTTAGCTTCTGCAGCAAGGTGGGCAGCAAGGAAATATTTTTGCTGCCCCCTTTGTAACTACAAAGAACTGCCTAGTGATACTTTTTAGAATGGTCAGAGGACTATTACAATGTGGTCCTCAAATGCTGACCACAGAATTTGCAAATAATCCCGTTCAGATTTGTTCTGACTAGGATGTTGTAGCTGATACACTTCAATGGATGTAACCTTGGCTCTTGCTTGTCCAGTGTTGATAGCTACTTTACAATTTGTGCAGCCTGAAGATGTGGACAGAATCCTTGGGGAGGTAAGAGCCACCACATGTGTTCTAGATCTTTGCCCTTCCTTGCTTATCAAACAGGCCAGAGGAGGACTGGCAAAGTGGCTAAAGGGTGTTGTCAATGCCTCCTGAAAACAAGGCAGAATTACACATTGGATAAAGGAAGCAGTTGTGAGGCATGTATTAAAAAGGCTGTCCCTAAACTCTGTTATAATGGACAACTACTGGCCAGTGTCCAACCTTCCATTTTGAGCAAGGCATTGGGAGTGTGTAGTGGCCAACTCTAGGGGTTCCAGATGAAACTACTACTTTCAAACCCAAGTCAAGAAAGCTGTCCTGATCCTGAAATAAGTGTCTGTCATCAGTAATGGACTTGATGGGGGCAAACTTAATATATATACAAGACAGAGGTATCCCTAGTCAGCTGTAAGGCAGATCAGGAAAAATTGTCCAGCCTATACTAGATGCGGTTACTCTCTCCCTGAAGACACGGATCTGCAGTTTGGGGGTTCTCCTGAACTCTGCACTGAAGCTGGAGATCCAGGTTTCTGTGGTGGCCAGGAGCACCTTTGCACATTTAAAACTCGTGTGCCAACTTCTGTGAACTGTCAGATCTAGCCATGGTGGTGGTACATGCCTTAGTTACATCATGTTTGTATTAATGTAACATGCTCTACTTGGGGCTGCCTCTGAAGTGTGTTCTGCTGGTCTTAAAAGTTGTGGCCAGACTGTTGACCAGGGCTAGCTAGAGGGAAGGCAAAACAACCTGGCTGCAACACCTCTATTGGCTGCCAGTTTGTTGTTGCACACAATTCAAAGTATTGGTCATGACCCACACAGCTCTATATGGCTCAGGTCCAAAGATCGTATCTCCCAGTAGGCATCTACCTGGCTCTCAGATCCTCAGGAGAAGCTCTTCTCTTAGTACCTCCACCATCATAAGTATGGTTTGGTGGGGGACACAAGAGAGGGCCCTCTCAGTGGCTGGTAATCAACTCTGGAACTTCCTTCTCAGGAGGCCAGAACATTGCCCTCAATGATATTCTTCTGGTAGCAAGCAAAAACCTTTTTTTATTCAGGAAGGCCTTTAAAGAAGAAAGTTTTTAAGAGTCAGCCTGGGGTGTGCTGTGGGGTATTGGATTTATTTTAACAGCTTTTTAACTATTATAAGTAATTTTAATTTGTATGTTTAATTCTATTTTAATATTTGTATGGTGTGGCTTCTAATTTCATTATTTTTCAAAATTGAAAGCTGCTTTGTATCTCAATCAAGAGAAGAACTGGGATATATTTATTTATTTATTTACAACATTTCTACCCCGCTTTTCTCACTCTGGAGGGGATTCAAGGCAGCTTTACATACAGGAAACAATTTGATGCCCTAAAACACAATGTACATTTAAATAAATATTAAAATAGAATTTAAAAGTACATTAAAACAATTAAAACATTTTAAAAAATACATACAGAGTTAAACACGAGCGTAATTCGGGCCGTTCCAATGGTCATTTCACATTGTTCCAAGTCTATCTATTGCACAAGTTCTCTAAAGGCTTGGTCACAAGGCCACGGTTTCACTCTCTTGCAGAAGATCAGAAGGGAGGGGGCTGATCTAACTTTGCTGGGAAGGGAGTTCCATAGCTGAGAGGCCACCACTGAGAAGGCCCTGTCTCTCGTCTCCACCAATCATGCCTGCGAGGGAGGCGAGACTGGGAGCAGGGCCTCCCCAGATTACCTTAAACTCCACAGTGGTTCATAGAGGGAGATACATTTGGACAGATAAGCTGGGCCAGAACCATTCAGGGCTTTATAGTCTAAAGCCAGAAATTTGAATTGTGCTCGGTAGCAGATTGGCAGCCAGTGCAGCTGACGTAACAAGGAGGTTGTATGCTCCCTGTAGGCCGCTGTGGTGAGAAATCTGGCTGCCACCCGTTGAATCATTTGTAGCTTCCAAACAGTCTCCAAAGGCAGCCCCACATAGAGCGAATTGCAGTAGTCTATTCGGGATGTAACCAGAGCATGGACTACCATAGCCAAGTCTGACTTCCCAAGGTACAGGATGTAACTGCCTCAGAAACCTGGAAAGACCTGTGAAAATTGGATGCAGGACTGGAATTGCAGGATTAGGCTATTCTGGCTGTGCCATGTCAAACCCTGCAATACTGAGACCTCTCACTTAGCCAAGATTTTTCCAAGTACCAATAAATTATATTGAAACTTTTTCTGAGCACCTGTGTTCCAAAAGTGTTCCAAAAGGAAAAAGGAGCTGGGGTGACCAGTTGTAATGTTTTTATTACCCTTCTGTGAAAGAGTGAAATGTCTAGAGAGTATTCCAGCACACATTACAGGAGAATGGGCATCCATGGTAGTACAGAACAGCAAGGTGGAACAGAACAACTTAATTATAATTAAAGCCATGCCTCTAGAATTACTAACTTGTTTCTGTACTGAGATTAGGTATTTACCAACTGTAGGAGGGGAAAAAACTCCTATTTATGTGCAAGGTGAAAATATATGTGTGTACACATGCACACAACATTAATGTGATTCCTTTACAATTTGTATTTGGTTTAGAGAAATGAGGAGTCTCTGTTCATGCTATAGGGATAACTTTATGCTTATAAGAGAAACTGCTGATTTTATAGCTAGCTTCAGTTACAATGAAGGGATCTGCTCTTCTGTGTATTGTCTGTAAATTAGAGGGTGTTCTAAAAGCAACCTCAGCTGTTGTTCCTAGCTCACAACTCC